ACTGTAAAGCCTGCGGATGTGTGCCATTGTTTGAAAGGACGGTGATTCTTGGTAGGAGCAAAAAACAAACAGCTAGAGAGCTCTTGGAAGCCTATTACATCAAAAAGAAAGGGCCCGATTGTATCAGTGATACATCTATTGTGTTGTACGCAACAGAAATGCATTTTTTTGGATAACATATGTGGCTTGTTCATGACGCTGTGCGATGTTTGTTGGTTGTGCACGCATGCGCGGTTTTGTCTACTTTCCAGTGCGTTTCCTAGACGGTCATTAAACAGTTGGTAGTTGGCGCTGTTCTGTCTTCTCTCCTGCTCTTCCTGCTTCACGTTATGTTTTTTGCGCCTCAGTCTTCTGCACCCAGTACACTCGAAGCCAGAAGTACGAAGATTAGACAAATCCCTGTACTGCCCATCATTTCCATGTTCGCTGAAGCGCCGTGCGTTGTAGCTTCCATAAACACTAGTGCCAGAGTTCCTTCTAGTGTATATTTAGGAAACTCCATGGGCGAGAGTGTTCTCGCCCCCCTTCTCCATCTTGTCCACAAAGAGTTGCTCAAGCCACTTCCATTCCACTGAGAACAGCAAAACTTAAGCAGTCCCAATAACCGACTGCATTAATTTCTGTATACGTGTACTATGTGACGTGCTTATCTTAATAATTACTGTAGACTTTAATGCTTAAATTTCGATAGCTTTGTGCAGGAAAGGGGCGGGAATGATTCATCCCTGCAGAAAGCTTTGTATTCCCCTATTCCGCCGAGACTTTCGCCGCCTCTCACACGTTTTTTAGGAGAGATAGAAAGTGATTATTCAAGTTGGTTAATCTCATACCGCACATATATATGACAGATGTTATGTCGCACTTTCCGTCACATGAAGTCCTTTTTCATCTACATAATTTTGTTTCCTTTATAAATAAAAATGTGTATTTCTGCTACTGACCAATACTTTGTAAAAAGAAGTGTCGGTTCGCTCCTTACAAAATTTGTTAATGTAACTTTCGTCGCACAATCAATCAATTACTGTACGCTAAAGTTTAACGCGCTTTAAACAAATATGCCTCGCGCATTTCAGAACCAACGTCGTAGAAATGCCGATTTACGAAGAGAGGCTGCTGCTGCAGAGACCCGTGATTTGCGTCCTGCAGAACAAACACTTCAGGCAACAGTTCTTCTATCGGGCAGCGTTCGTGCCGTTCGAGTACTGCACCTACGTGGTCCTCCAGTTCTTCCACGTGACCAAGACCAACCCTTCGTATCGCACGTCGCACGACGCCGCTTTTCTGCGCAGCGTCGTCAACGCATCGCGCAAACGGTACGATATACTGACCCAGTATTCACAAACGCTCCTCGACTCGACTTTTGCCCTCCACTTGACAGGGTTGAGCGCTGCGCCACCGCTCGGCTGAAAATAACGCTGCGCTACTTGAAAATCACAGCAGATTATTGCTTATATGCAGTGACTTGTCCTGACTGAAGATGGCGCTTCCAACGGCTTTTTCATTAGCAGAAAAGGAACACAGGAAATAGCAGAAAAGGAACACAGGCCCCTGTGGCTAGCATTCTTGGATATCAAGGGAGCGTACGATAGCATGGTTCAAGAGGAATTGTGGGGAATACTGGACACACTAGGCGTGGAACATGTAGTCACTAATCTTTTAAAGGGTATCTATGAAGGTAACAAGGTAGTTATAAAGTGGGAAAAACAGGTGTCCAAGCCTGCAGAGGTAAAAGGGGGGCTTAGGCAGGGGTGCCCCCTGTCACCCTTATTATTCATGATGTACCTACAAGGATTAGAGGCAAAATTAGAGGGAAGTGGGCTGGGCTTCAACCTCTCTTTAGTCAAACAAGGAAAACTTATTGATCAGGCACTGCCAGCATTAATGTACGCAGATGATATAGTGCTAATGGCCAACAACAAGGAAGATTTGCAGAGATTGATGGACATCTGCGGTAATGGGGGAGATAGGTTAGATTTTAGAATCAGTAAGGAAAAATCAGCAGTCATGATTTTCAATGACAACGAAGGTAGTGAGCTTAGGATACAGGAGGTCACGCTTGAGATAACAGATAAATACAAATATCTGGGCGTATGGATAAGCAATGGGACCGAGTACCTGAGGGAACACGAAATATATCTGATGACTAAAGGTAACAGGAACGCAGCAGTGATGAAAAATAGGGCACTGTGGAATTACAATAGGTATGATGTTGTGAGAGGAATATGGAAAGGGGTCATGGTTCCTGGGCTGACGTTCGGCAATGCGGTCTTGTGCATGAGATCAGAAGTTCAAGCAAGATTAGAAATTAAGCAACGTGGAATAGGTAGGCTTGCTTTAGGAGCTCACGGGAATACACCAAATCAGGGAGTACAAGGTGATATGGGATGGACATCATTTGAGGACAGGGAAGCTAGCAGCAAGATAAAATTTGAGAAGCGATTGAGAGAAATGAAGGAGGAGTGTTGGGCTAGGAAGGTTTTCAGCTACTTGTACATGAAGAATGTCGATACAAAATGGAGGAAGCGAACGAGGAAGTTGACTGGTAAATACTTAGAAAACAGCAGGTGGCCAAACCAAAAAGAACTATCGGTTAAGAAGAAAGTGAAGGAAACGGAGACTGACATGTGGAAAATGGGCATGATTAAGAAGTCCGCACTAGAGATCTATCGAACTTTTAAGCAGGAAATTGCCAAGGAAAGGATCTATGATAATACTCGGGGTAGTTCTCTAGTGTTTGAGGCAAGGACGGGAGTACTGCGAACCAAGACATATCGTGCCAAATACGAAGGGGTAGACACAGTATGCAGTGCGTGTGGAGAGGAAGAAGAAACTGCCGAACACTTGATAGTGTTCTGTAAAGGGCTTCACCCTATAGTTCAGGATGATGGCGCAGAGTTTTTCAAAACACTGGGGTTTAGGGACCGGGAGGGCAAAATAGACTTTAAGCAAGTAGACCTAACTAGAAGGAGGTTATCTGATTGGTGGCTAAAGTCAAGGCACGAGTGAAAATTAAACTGTTCACTGCAAAGTACGCATCCTCAAACTCACTTTTAAAGGGAAAAAAATAAATATAGTTTTTGGTTCATTAGGTATTACTGCTTGGTGGCGCTAGCCGCCGCCCGATCTAAAGGGTACAGCCATATCCATCCATCCATCCATCCATCCATCCATCCATCCATCCATCCATTTATCAAGTACCCCGATCTAAAGGATACAGCTACATCCATCCATTCAATCATTCATCCATCCATCTATCAAGGGAAGGTGGAGCGTTCAAGAATATGGGGGTGACACAGCTTTGTCGGCGAGGTGCGTTAGCGATACCCTACAATGTTTTACAACGGTGAGCTCTGTTGCGGTTAGCTGTCACTCGATAAACACGCTGTAACGCCAGCTAAAAATGTTACGACTCATTGCTGAATACGCTCGCTCTGTCACGCAACGACTACGCTCGTTCGAGTGCAACGATCGAACGGACAGACCTCTGCAACTTGATCATGCGTTTGTAGCAGCGCGATGTCAAATAAATAAATAAATAAATAAATAAATAAATAAATAAATAAATAAATAAATAAATAATATCCAGCCCCGCTTCACGGACACTGATCAAATAGCGAAGCTGGGGCACTCCCTTCGTCAGCCTAACGTATATATATATATATATATATATATTTTACGTTTGGCAAGTCTTTCAGATATCTTGTATGACTTTTCTCTGTTTAGCTTTGAGTAAACTGTTGCCTCCATTTTTAGTGGATCAGTGGTGAGTAATGCGATATGCGCGATGTATGCGGTACGTAATACCCCTTTGTAATACCCACAAGCGTTACCACATATCACCGACATTAAAGGCTCGACAAAAGTCAGCTTCGCTGTTAAAATTAGAGTTACTGTATATGCTACCTTTAGGCAGCATGAAAGTAGCATATACAGTAACTCTAGTTAAAATTGACGCAGCTTGCACTATAGCGGCGCAAGGCTGAAACCAACAGTGAAGCTGGGCGACCTTTCTTGTTTTTCCTCCCTTTTCTCTTTCTTTTCTCCTCAGCTTTTTTTCTATCTCTTTTCTTTGTCTATGTTCCTTCGTATTTCTTTCTTTCTCTATAGTTTCAGTTCTTCATGTCCATTTCTCCCTTACTTTATAGCTATCTCGTGGTGATTGTGTGTACCTTCTCATCTTTCTGCAACCTCTTCTCTCCCCTTTATCTCTTCCCCAGTGCAGGGTAGCAAACCGAATGTGCGTCTGGTTAACCTCCCTGCCTTTCCTTGCATCTTTATCTCTCTCTCTCTCTCTCTATAGCTATCTCGTTCTCCCAATTCCTTTCCTTCTCTTTCTGTTTTGATACTTCTCTCTATTTTACATCGATTTCGTTGTATAGGTATATTTCCCTCGCTATATTTCTTTCTCTGTCTACTCATTCCCCCTGCTTCCTTCTTTTTTTCTCAATAATAGTTCTCTCGCCCATTCGAGTCATTACTCATTACATCAAACGCCGGACTAATAGCGGGTCAGCGTGCGCCGGGCACACGTGTTCGGGGAGCGAAGCAGAAGATGTTGGATGGAACGAAGAAAGTGCGCGCTGGCATGACGATAATATTTCTCGCGATCGCTCGGCGGGGGTTTGCGGTGCATAAACAGCTCCGCTGTTAAAAAAGTTTTTTTTTCCGAGATTTGCGACAGAACCGTGATGAGAACTTCACGGTTTAAACTTTGAAGAATACAAAAGTACTTTTCGCGTCTTTTTGCCCTGTCTTAGCCCTGAATGTCACATGGGGCCAGCCGAAACGCTGGTTGCGGCGACACATCCTTTTCAAGAACATTAATATTACCTTTCTCCCATCCCCATAAACGTATCTATCCTTTTCCAGTAAACTTCGTTAAATCACGCAAGAGTGTCTGCCCCTTTTTGACCCTTTCTTGGTTCTAGATCTACTGCACTATTTGTTACAATCATGCTATGGCACAATCACATACACGTCGCGGTGCACCGCAGCACCAAGAAGATGCACGGCCAGTCGGACGACGTGCCCATTCTGCTGGGCCTAGGCGTGGACGAATCGGACAGCAGCCGCTTCCATCACATGGTGGTCGCCAACACCGTGGAAGTGTTTGTCAGAGCTGCCATGGTGCACGTGAACATGGACCGTCTCAATGGCGTGCACGTCAACTGGCTCTATCCAGGTCTGTCTTGTCAGACACAGCTGTTTCCAAATGCTCACACATAGGCGTACCAGCCAACGGGGCAAGGGAGCCCTCCCCCCCCTCACTGGGAAAAGTTGGGGGGGGGGGGCTAACCCCCCCCCCCCCACTTTTGACAGTGGGCGCTCTTGGCTGCAGACAGGGGAACCAACAAGTAAGGCGAAGTTTTCCGTCACAACAGTAATAACTCAATTATGCTCTAACGGGAGAAGGAAAAATGTTACGAGGCAATGTTACAACGTAGTGAAATTTTGCAAACATTTCCGCTACGATGATTTTTCTTGTAGGTTATTTGCGGTGCGGGTAGCCTATGCGACGTTTTCGCGTCTTGCGCTGTAATATTGTAGGGGAGGCAAGCGCTGCACAGGGGCCCCATAATGTTACATCACTTGTTCACGCTTTTATTCTGCTGTGACTTGTTGACGCAGTTACGGAATGAAGCAAGCAAGCTTTTTATGGACTGGAAAATAATTTTCTTCGAAAAGGGTATATCATCACCGCTGCTCTGTCGAAGCTGTTGCGAGCCGATGAGTGTGACTAATCGTTTTTGATGTTTAAGTTCTTCCGCTATGAAACGCCAAAAATGGTTCCCACTTTAGTCTGATAAACCTGATCAGCCTTGCTTATGCTATAGCGGCAGTAAAACGCGAAAGTAAAACTCACCTTTACAAAGGTAATTGAATATTTACTGTACATTGATAAATGAGGGTTTGCTGATAGTATATTTTGGTGTTTGGCAGCTGTAGCGTCGTTTAACGTTTATAAATGTGCCCTCGTTGACGCTTAGTACATCTCCACCCCGACGACTAACATGCATGATAAATTTATTAAACAAACTATTGTGGTAGCTGTAGACGTTAACCGCCAAATCATAATCACAGAGGGAGAGAGAAGCGTGATAGCAAGATGGGCGTCGCATATTGGACGCGAAAATTAGGCTAAGGACGCCATTCCTCGGCCTCGGCCTTTTAAAGTGCTTAATTTAAAGTGATTAAAGTGCCATGGTAATTAATAAAGCGCGTCGTGTCACCTCTGTTATGCGAATTCAATATATATATCATGAGTCGGGTAGGTCTGCCCCTCGCGAAAGAGTTACTAGGCCACTGTGCTCACATGATTCACTTTCGCGCACGCACAAGTCTAGACAGGATATCCTGAGCCAGAATAGTGTGAGCTTCTGTCTGGTCCTCTATCTGGAACAATAACAGCTTATAGCACAAAAATCCACTTGTTGAGAACTTATTTTGTAAGTGTTCTTTGACCAAGATATATCGACAGACGCGCGAAACAAGGGGCGTTTCGAAACAAGGGACTAGCTTGTTTATCTGCATTTATTTACCTACAAGTCAATGAAAGTATCCATGTCTATCCCCTCTACATTGATTGGTGCGGGTTTTAACCACGACAATCTATAGAGGAGGTCGTGGTTTTAACGAGGAAGAACCCCGTCGGGGAAAATTCATTTCTGGTTAGCATAAAGAAACGTGGTATAACCTATGCTCTGAGCGAGTTTGCTCATAGCAACAAAACACAGAACGATTGAGACAAGGGACGAAGAACACACTTGTGTGTGGTGCCTGTTCCACGTCCATTTACTCAGTCGCACTGTACCTTCGTATTGTAGTATAACCATCACTAGTGATCTGCTTTGACAAGACACCATAGCGATGTCTAGTTCTAGCGATATCTCTGTTTCGCAGGACGAAACAGACAGGTATGACCACACTGTCGCTTTGTTATCATTAGATTTACCCATCTTTCACATCAGATGTAGTACGTGTTCATCGCTACGAGCATAAAATGAAGCGCTTTACGTACGGTGACACTGTGTGTGCTGTGACAAACAGCTCGGAACGCCGAACCACCATCTGCCATATTGTCGCGTGCTACAGATCACAACCAGCTGCACTCGATCATCATATGAAAGTGCATACGTGGCGCCGACACACTGCAGGCGACCGGTGCGGTGACATGGCGGACAAGGCTGGCCTCGTGGACATTCTGCAGAAGTTCCGGTCTTTGCTTCCGCTGCCCGACTACACGATTACAGTATCCGTTAGCACTCAGTCGGCGAATAAGAACTACGACATGCAGGGCGTGCTTGACGTCGTCGACTACGTCGTGGTACAGGCTCCGGACTGGCACACCACCATCGCGTGCCACTTCAATCGAACAGAAGTGGTCGCTGCGATGAACAGATTTTCAGGAGCAACGGGCCTCTCGCAAAAGGTGACGCGCGTTTACTACTTTACATTGTCGCTGCTCCCCATTCGGAAGGAGCGATAGGTGCACCATGACACGCTTGACGTCTGTTCGTGCGTGTATGCGTGTACACATTTTCAAACAGCGTGCCCGAGCTGTCTATATATAGATAGCTGGGGAATTGTAGTGTCTCACGTGTACGTGAGGCACTACAATTGAGCTTCGCTTGAGCAGTCCCATCGACCGCAAAGATAAAAATGGAAATAAAGCTCACAACTTCAGGCTTTTCGTGCAGTTCTGCTACGCCATGAGACTCTCTGCCAGCACATTCCTGACACATTCACCGGCACTGGGAGCCCGCGCCCACCGCCGGGGTAGAGAACTGCGCGCGAGCAACGCTACTGGTAAGGCAGGCCGGTTCGAGCTCTGCGATGCCTCGTGGACAGTGGACAGGGCTGGCAGCACAAAGGAATGCACGCTGGCCACCAAGGTAAGTGGATGGTATGCTGAACATACTTCTGCTTTGGCACATGAGCGGGGATTAGGATCACAACACAGAAACAGTGGGACCTACTCACCATCTTGTCTGAAACCCCAGTGAAAGTCTGCAACATTCCAAACAGTATGCAGTCCCGATAAGCGGCCTCACACCGACAGTTTGCATTGGCTACACCAAGCGTGGAAGGTGCGTTTTGTTATACGGTCCTTGTCCTGTCCTTGAGCATAATGAGCCAGACTATTATAACAGCATCCGACTTTCCTATCGGCATGCACCCTTTGGCAGCAATGAAGTTTTCCTACGCCAAGTCCTCCTATTTTTCTTTTTTTCGAACGCACACAGTAATGTAGTGCAGAAATTAACGAGTATTGTAGTTTAAGACATCGTTCCAACATATGTCTCTCCCTTGTACCGGTGCGAGTATACTATAACGTCGTAGTTGACGTCAAAAAATCTACCCTGTGGTGTTGCACACGCGGTTTATCATGGCTAATACTCTTGAGTTGCAAAGCTAACTGAAAAAAAAAAAAATTACCACTCCATCGACATCAAAGCAGTGCTAATGCCGCCCTTTCAGAAACGCATTTTCAGAGTTAAGCAGCGAAAGAAATTGAGCTCTAGTTGGCATTGCACTTCTTGAAAAGTGTGTGACAGCACAGCAAGCCTAGCACAAATGATGTGGGCGAGACCAGGAAAGTCTTCTTTCATCCCATCTGTTTTTGCCTTGCTGTACTCGCATTTTAGCATGGTTGTAATCCAGAATACAGACAGACATACAGAGCTCTGTGTGTGCGTGCATGTGTGTGTCTTCCTTGTCCCATTTCGCGCTGAATTTTTCTTTATAACATTTTCATGTTTATTTTGGCCTCCGCCAAAACGGACAAAGGTCAGGCGGGCTAAGGTAAACAGCACGAAAACTTAACCACGCGGGAATGCCTCAAACCAATGACAGGTTACTTTTTCTAGCTCATCTCTAGATGACCATCGAAGACTTGTTGACCGGCCAGTTGGATATAAGTTGAAAATGGCCCCTTAGAGTTACTGTAAAAGGTAGCATAGAGTAACTCCAGGGCTCTGGACTGAGGTCTCCACCTGCTGATGCCCTCACAAGCAAACAGAACAACAAAAAAGTTTATACTATGTACTATATACCAGCTTAATCTCTCATGCACTGCAATGTACCATATGCCAAAATCTACCAATTTCTCCTCGTGATCCAGAGGGAACCCGTGGATGGAATGACACTGACTGCAACATACGAAACGGTGCAGAATCTCAAGCATCGGTTTGACCTGAGCTATGCGGATGGAATCGGTGGCCAGTGTGTGGCAGTCTACGACCTCGAGCTCGATGACTACATTGGCAGATGCAAGCGAGGGTTTTCACCTTATCTCAGAGTCATTGCTGCCGAAGGCATCGAGCAGCCAAATGCCAAACTTTATTCAAAAGTTTCATAAAGGAACAGCTGGTGAATTCACGGAGTCCACCCAACTGTAGCCAAGAATATATATTGACTATATAATGACGTTGCGTGTTATACAAATGTCACTTCCATAATAAAAGCATATTTCGAAATATTGAAAATAAAAAAGCCATTTCATATATCTCATTAGGTCATCAGAGAACACCAAATTTTCTTGCATAATTACTCCTTTTTTTTTTACCACAAGACGACACTTGGTAAGTGAGCATTATTAAAAATACAGTCGAACCCGAGTATATCGAACTCGCCAAAAAACGTTTATTAGTTATTAGTTCGATATATGGCATAATTTCATATAGGCCCGGTATAGGTTTTGACACAAAGGCACATAAACTAGAAGAACAGTACTTTATTAATATGGTGGCTTACTTGCGTGCCCTACTGTGGAACAAAATAGTCCCGGATTTTTTTCTGTGTCAACGACTTCGCTGCCTGCGACAGCACGCACGCCTCCACATTGTCCAACGAGTCTGAGCAGCTGAGGCCGCAACCTTCCACATTCAAGCAATAGCGCCGGATCAACGCAAGTGCACTAATCACTTCAGAGGATGTAGGCAATGGGCCATCGTCGATTTACATATTGCTGTCGCTTTGGCTCGTGGTTGGCAGGACGTCTGCAATGTAATCCTCATCCTGTAATTGGCCCATGATGGGGACATCATCGTCCGCACTGACGAACAAGTCGTCGATAGTCGATCAGTCGATAGCACCAGGAAACTCTGCCAGCTCGTTCCAAACTTCGGCGGAAACACCTGCGGTGTCTTCAGTGCTGTCAGAATTTGGGGTGTCATCCCCAAGCATGCGGAAGCCGGCATGCCTAAAGCAGTTCTGGATCGTATCCTTGACATCTGCCCACGATCTACTCAATATAGAAATAGCTCCGAGCAAGTCGATCTTAAGCTCCCTGCCGACACGAAGGTTCGGCAGCAGCCTCTCCACCAGGCGCTTCCGATAGACGGCTTTCATTGCGAGTATAACCCCTTGATCCAGTGGCTGCAGTACAGACGTAGTGTTCGGGGGCAAAAAACGCAGCTTGATGTTGCTGAAGGTCGTACTGCAGTGGTGCGATGAACAATTGTCCACGAGCAGGCACACCTTGCGATTTTCGCCTACCAAATCATCAATCCATGTGCTGAAAAGCTCTCCGGTCATCCACACTTTTGAGTTTGCTCGGTGGGTAACTGGAAGTGACAGCGCATTTCGAAAACACCGCTGTGCTGTGCTTTTCCCAATAACCAGAGGTCAAAGCTTTTTCGATCCGTCTAAATTAGCTGCCAACAGCACAGACACACGAGCTTTGTTTGCCTTGCCGCCGCTTGTCTTGTCGCCACGACACGCAAGTGTTGGGAGCTGCTTGGCATATACCCGCTTCTTGTGGCACATTACTCACAAAGTTTTTGGTAGTCACCCACAGACTTTCACAGAGGTTAAACAGCTTCACTACTAAACTCAAATGGTCCCTAATGCATCCACCTAGGACAACTTGAAGCCATAGGCCATCCAGTGTCGCTATCCTACTGTGCACTTAATGCCATGCAATTGTTTTCAAGTTGTTTAGTCATGCGAATGCCGCAAATACTAAGTAAATGTGGTGCTCACATGACTCAAGCCACGAGGCCCATATGTGGTCTTGTGACTTTAGGCAGTCACGAGAACACCATTTTTTTTATAGGCTGGCAGTTAAACTATGTTTGGCAACGCAGGAATTGGTTTGCTGTACCAGCTGATCAACCAATCACAAAAAATCTACAGAGTACGCTAATTACAAAAGAAACTTTAATTCTCATCTCATGAAACAGTACCAGTGTGAGAATACTGCACACAACAGGTCAAGAAACAATATTCACAAACAAACAACAAAATATAATGTCTAAACAAAACAATGCTGATGGACCCTGAATGCTGCACTGTTGAGCATAAGAATGCATTTACTTTGAGACTTCAAGGCTGAATTGTTCAAGCAAGGCTAGAGATTAAGCACACAAGGCAAGAACATTCGGCTGACTTATAACCAACAGCTCAAGAAAAGACAATACTAAAATAGCGATAGCTTTGCTGAAGTAAAATTATGATTAGTGAGCAAGTATTGGCAGCAAAATGCCTGAAGCAAGTAAAAGCCCTTGTTCAGACAACACTGCACTTGGCACAAGCAGACTGGCTGCCATAACGTAAAAACTCTTAAGAACACTTCACTCACAAGCTTTCCTAGCTTGCAGGATTCTAAAACAGCAGTCCATTTCACTCGACTGTAAAAGGCTGTTTCGAAGAAGGCTTTAGAAGTTCATAGCAACAGTTTGACTACAGGGAACAATGGCTCTGCTGACATTACTTTTGTAAACAAAACGGCTGGAGAAATTTACAGAATGCAGTCCATACCAGTGACTGCAAACTCTGTTCGTTTTCTTTTGTGAAAGTAGCAATAACATTTAGCGATAAATCAACTTCTCGCAAACCAACACACTAAAAAAATCCAAGGGTCACGTAATCACTTCACCGTCATTCTGGTGGCTTTTTGCGGCAGCAGCCTCCAGTGTCTCATCAGTATCGACAAGCAATGACTTGTTTTCGACATCCTGAAACAAATAGAGAACATGTTAGACCCACAAAGGAAGTTGAGAAGAAGCCAAGAAATACAAACTAAGCAACTTAAAAAAATTGACAATGAACATAATACTGTAAGAAGAGGCCACCATGCATGAAAGCAAGACACTTTTTCCCAAGCTTACCTTTGAATAGAGTAGCCTCGAAGCAGCCCTGCCTGCAATAAACGCGACCATAATCAAGAGGAGGAGGCTACCGAAGGCCAGCAGAAGGTAAGCGAAAAGTGTGCTGTAGAACATGGGATTCTCCAATGTGCTTTTCAGGTAATCAGCTAAGGCCTTGTCCAGTTCAATGTTCTGGAACATAATTACGGAGTGATGTAGCATACCATAAACCTGTTGCACAACACACAAAGTGGTCAGTGATAATGTGGAGGTACACATGCATGCATGCACACCAACAGCCCCCCCCCCCCCCACACACACACACACAAAAAAAACAGCCTTGGCAGTTCACAGAGAATTCGATACAAGCAAGGAAAGCATATGCTACACGAAGTAAGCTTGTAACATTGTGAAAGTAGACATTTAAAACATTTGTTTGTTTATCAATACCGTTAAATTTTTCAAGCTCTTCTACCTAGTGAGTCTCAGGAAGAGGGCTGGAACATACTATGAAAGCAAAAAAAAGATGTGTTCCCAGGGTCAACAAGGGGTGTAGAAAGTGTTCATTGAAGTGCAGTTATAACTAGAAAAGTTTGCCATGTGCTGTTTCAATATGGTTGATCATGAAGTGTTGGGGTGTGGCGTGCTTCACAGTGCCTAATGTAGATGTGGGTTCAAGCTAGTTGGTACTTCATGCTCCACTACTTTTTACACAATTTTTTTTAGTCAATGGACAAAAAAGACATGAATAGACTCGGTGATTGGTTGCAACATCTAACAAGACTACTGTAAAAAATGAAATACTGTATTTACTCGCATAATTTGCGCACTTTTTTTCGAGATTTCGGGGTCCCTAAAGGGAGTGCACAAATTACGTGGGGATTTCGCGAGTGCACACGAAATATTGTGTCATGTTCCTAACGCGAGCAGTATATACATTTAAAGAAGAAATTGGAGAAAAGAAGAGTAAATGGGACCCCAAACGAAGCGTACTTGTTAAATTTGAAAGAATTAGCACGTACTTTAACCAGTCATCAGTGCTAGTGGGAGTCACTGATCACGAAGTCCGATTGGGAATCATCGTCGCGGCTGCTGCAGCCGCCCTCCCGAAGCGCATCGTCCCATGGTTTCATCAAGAGCGTTTCAACACCCCATTTTTTAAAGCTCTTTTGACAATGCTGGCAGAAAATAGGTCCAACGACACGGCAATATCAGAAGAACTAAGCATCCGCACATAATTGAAAAGGCCTCCTTCAATGGCAGGAAACTTCCATTAGCAATTGCGCCCCCTTTTGCTTTCTCACGTATAGATCAAGCCGGTCATCACGTTGAAGTACATTCCCTTGAAGTGCTTTGCGGTGTGGGGGTGCTGACACACCCTTTAAGGTTGTTTGCGCAGAAGGCACAGAAGCCGTATTTAGAGGTGACAACTATTTGAGCGATAGGTGGTGTTGTGTTTGCGAGTGGTGATCACCACTATCATCATCATGGTTGGTTGAGCGGTAGCGCTGGCGGTGACCCCTGGCGGACGGCAAACCTTGGTGGCGGGCGAGAGAGTTGAGCAAGTCTCTTTTTGGCACGGGGCGGTGGCGCGGACTGTTGCCTCCAGCGGTGAATCTGCCGTGGCCGGCACCGCGGGCTGTCTGCGGTGGGCCCACGTGATGAGTCTGGCGTTAGCGACACCGCCTTGTTTGTCATGTTTACTATTGTGTAAGGATGTCCTAGCATGTTGATCACGATTGATGTTATAATAATTCGGCTCACGATATCCTGCACCAAAAGCAGTTAAATAAATGTAATTGTATTGTTGTTTGGTTAGTTCCGATCGTGTCTACTGTGTCCGTTCACTCCAAGAGTGTGGCGTGGCGTGGCTCTCCATTTCGAGACTCCACACTGACACCCAACATGGGGCTCTTGGAGCATCGAACGCCAGTTCTCGCGGCTCGGTACAAGCTTTTGTTAGAGCCAGGGTAGAGTAGGCCTAGGGGGACTTCTTTGCTAGCGCCGGCGGTGTGCTTTGTTGAGAGCGAGGAGATCGGTTGTTATGTGTTCGAACTTGTCGGCACGTTGAGTTTTTTTTCTTCTGATCGCAAGTGCTTTTGTTGCTGTTGCGGTTGGTTTTTAAGAACGTTGTTCAATTGAGTACGAGAGCCATGTGGTCGGCATCCTGGGTTGAGCAAGGCTTAGAGCACGTGGATTGTAGGCCAGGCCCGAAGCGAGCGAGTACGGAAGCCTCGTGGGTAGTCGGATATTCAACAGCGGCGGCATGTTTCTCGTTTTCTTCGGTGAAATTTACAACAGGGAGCTTCAATTCCAGCGTATATAATTTCTGTCGCACATCGTAAGAGAACCGTCGAAATGTGTCGGCCGGATGGCGAAGTCTAAACAAACTTCCCAAATTAACCAAGCGTCCGCTGCAGCGTGAATGCAGAGAACGAGGGGACAGTTGGCGTGACAGGCCCCCGCACGCCTTCGATGCAGGAAGTCGTCTGTGCCATGACGCGAGCGTGCATTCTCGTAATTATCGCGGTGGTAGAGACTAGGAGATAGGGGGAGGCAAACATTCGAGCAGTTCCGGCGACCCGTCAACAAGTTTGTGTTCGGGTGCGCTATTCTAGGGACCCTAGTTTGGGGGAAGCTCTCGAAAGAAGGGACTTCGCACTAGCAGCCTTCTTGACAGTGCTCGTCTGTTCGTCGAGGCACGCACCGGGCTGAAGCAAGATGCGCGGGCCAGTGAGTTTGCTTGGGCGGGCCGAGGAGGGCGAAATATGAGAGTAAATCTTTTTTTTGAAAAGCTGGCAAAATATTAGGGGTGTTCAAAATATGAGAGGGTGCAAATTATGCGCATAAATACGGTACAGGTTCGTTTTTTCAATAAAAGAACACAATAGAAAATTACAATAAAAACATCGCAGCATATCCACGGAGTGAATGATGATTGGTGGGGCGAAGCCTTCATCAGTCCGTCCGTGCTTTCGTCCACCCATTCGTTCTTGCTTTCGTCCGTCCATCCCTCTGTCTGTCTATCTGTTCGCCTTTCTGTATGTCTATCTGTCCGTCTGTCTATCTAGTGAACGCTCCAAGTACAGCCATCTCGCATCTTTTCATCATGTATTCATCATATAAAAATGCCACCATCCAGCGGAAATTTTAAGGACCGCTCTTTCGGGTATGTGCCACCGGTCGCTACATACACCAACGGAGTATGCACAGACCCAAACCCTAAGGAGCTTCGCCCCTAAAGGTCTACCATTGTCTTATATACCAGAAAATCTTTTGAAAGTTTGGCCACTATGGCCAACTGATGTCAACTGCCTCGATTGCCATTATGATCATCAGAGTCACTGTCGCCTTGTTTACTTGTACCGTGGGTGGCCTTGTTCTAAATTCTTGCTGTTTGGTGGATTTATTTGGGCTCTGTTTCGAGTCAAGATGACCAATAGTTGACAACAATTTGCTGCAGCATTCAAGAAAACAGCAATGGGATTCAGGAAGGCACATAAAATTCTGGTTGTACACTGAGCTTCAAGCGTGTGAAAGATTTGTCAGGATGCTAGCGCAGGCATACCGTATATACTCGTGTAAGGGCCGCCCTCGTGTAAGGGCCGCACCCCAACTTTGAAAGCGGATATTTCGAAAAAAAAAAAAAAACAAAAGTTCAAAATGTCCCGCCAGAAAAGTGTAGTTAGTTCATTTACAGCCAGATGGCGCTGCACGCTTTTCCGCTTTTATTCTACTTCCGCCGACGCGCCGACCACGCTGTTGACAGCGCGCCGCCATATTTGCCTTGTGCGGCCTCTTTGTTGGCATCGTTCCTAGCATCGTGTCGATACGTTGGCAGCGCGACTTCAGATCGGTGTCGTCGGTGTCACTTTGTTGGTTGTAGTGAACCCTGCAGAAGCCAGCGCACGTGACGGACGATGGGCCGGCATCTGAGATCATTCACTGCAGCATTTAAGCTGCAAGTGATTGACTATGCCGAGGAGCACGGGAAGCGGGAAGCTGGACGAAAGTACGACGTCGATGAGAAGCGCGTGCGTTACTGGATGAATCAGAAAGATGCCCTCGCCGCTACTAACAGGAGCCGAAAGGCGTTTCGCGGGAAAAAGTGCAAGTACCCGCAACTCGAAAGCGAGCTCGTCAACTACGTCGTCGACACACGAAGGGACGGCTACGCCGTATCGACTGACATGATACGCGTCAAAGCCCTCAGCATCGCTCGCCACATGGAAATACCCCCGGCACAATTCAAGGCAAGTCGGGGCTGGGCTACGCGGTTTATGAACCGTAACCAGCTTTCTATTCGGCGCCGAACGACGATTTGCCAAAAACTGCCGCGCGAGTACGAAGACCACGTCATTAAGTTTCATCGCTTCGTGAATGCTCTCAGGAGGGAGCATGAATACGACCTGTCCCAAATTGGGAATGCGGACCAGACACCTGTGTGGTTCGATGCACCGGAAAGCACCACAGTGGATTTAAAAGGTGCGAAAAGTGTGTCTGTGCGCACGACTGGTGCAGAACGCCAAAGGTGCACTGTGATGTTGTGCATCACGGCAGACGGCAGGAGGCTTCCGCCGTACGTCGTATTTAAAAGGAAGACTCTCCCAAAAGAGAAGTTCCCTCAGGGAATCGTCGTACGTGCGCAAGAGAAGGGCTGGATGTCCGAGGAACTGGTCGTTGACTGGATTAAGACCGTCTGGGCAAACAGACCTGGAGGGCTGTTACAACGGAAAGCCCTCCTTGTTTTGGACAGCTTTAGGGGCCACTTGACCGACCGCGTCAAGAACCGAGTTGCCGCAACTCGTACGGACTTGGCCGTCATTCCCGGTGGCCTGACGAGTGTGCTGCAGCCGCTCGACGTATGCGTCAACAGACCATTCAAAGTGGAATTTCGCCGATGTTACTCTGAATGGATGGCTGGAGGCGTCCACGAGAAGACCCCTACAGGACGGCTGAAGCGGGCGTCGCTCCAACAGGTGTGTGAATGGATTTTGAATGCGTGGCGTGCCATGTCAGTAGAAGTAGTTGCTAAAAGCTTCAAGGTAACGGGAATTTCGAACTCCATGAACGGCACCGAAGATGACCGTCTCTGGGAAGACGCGGACGCCGAGGCGAGCTCTCCGAGAACGAGGACAGCGAAATGGAATCCGAATAAAAACATTTCTGGCATGTCATTTGTGACTCTTGCACTCTGCTACTGTTGCATAAACAGTACAGACCTTTGGCCTGTACTGCCTGTACTAAATCGGCCTGATTCGTGTAAGGGCCGCACCTAGCAAAATTTTCGAAAAAAAAGTGCGGCCCTTACACGAGTATATACGGTATGCGAGCAAAAGCTGCAAGTCACATGCAATGATTGAAATTTTATCTTTGCATGGGTGTTCTTGCTTTTCCATCTCGCCAGATACTTCCTTTTGCCTGCCGCAATACAAGCTGGTTGCAGCAGCATGTATGGCTATGATTGGCCGGCAGAGTGCACCACAGGATCATTCGCTACTGGTGGGCGCAGAAGGGTCACATAACTCACAGCAATCACAAGAACCCTTTCTTTTGACACCATACCACGGCATATCAAACTCGGGAGACGAAAATTGGAGAGTTAATGTGAGAGCTGCACTCGCGTCCCAGTTGCTACCTCCCACCATAGAGTACATCCAAACTAAAAATGTGAAGACGGTTGCGACATTTTACGATAATACTTCAGCCCATCATTTGACATTTTGCCTTGTGAAACTTGTGTGTATACACGCGTGTAAACAAATAGAATTTTTCCTGTGCACCATTTAAAACTAGTCAGTTGATGGTAAAGGTGCCTCTAAAGAATTTACCTGCACTATGTACCCTTTCTTTTTATTTTCGGTAGATCATAGTAGGGTCAATCTCTATTTTGATATGAGCAAAACTCCAGTTTTTGTGGTATTGCTTGCACATACTCAAAATTTAGTGGAACTAAAAGGTAACACTGTATGAAAAGAGCGGACTACCACATACTCAAAATTTAGTGCAACTAAAAGGTAACACTGTATGAAAAGAGCGGACTACAAGTCAACAGGGATTGTTGCTGAGTTGTTTGTTCATACTCAAGGAAAAAACAGATAAGGCATAAGGAGGCGTGCCCGAAGCAAGGAAACGAACTGACAGACACCGGCGCCAACTTGAACGGTATATCGACAGAAACCACGCCAATTTATATAGGCTATCAAACGAGGTAATCGCATAACAGAGAGACACATGAAAAAACAAGCAAATTATCATGAGCCACTGAAACAGTGTCTGAGCATGCGCCAAAAACTGCACTAAACTGAGCTGTAAAAACATGCCAGCACACATGAACATGTCAACCCTAGTGCACAGCAAAATGGGTAGAGCACAATCTAAACTTCACATGTCTACAGGTTGCCTTAAAAAAAATTGGCCCCATATCTGCATGTTAATCAGCAAATGTTGTCGAAAGACCATAGTCTTGCGTGTGGAGAGAGTGAACAAAACATTGATATTCTGCGCAAGAAAATCGGTGAATGGTATTCTGGAAGCGCTGCGTTGGAGTGCCTCGAGCGTGCAGCGGAGGAGAACGAGCGCATCAAGTCACATCACACGCGAGACATGAGCGCCATCTGGCAGTTTTCTTGTAAAACAAAGCGCCCGTATAAGAGGTGATAAGGCGTAGAACGCAAGGCGACAGGTAGGTGCCACCACCGTCTCGTCTTAGCAAAGCATTGGAAACACTCGCCTTTTCGTGCAAGCGTTGCATGGTCAGCGCAGCGTGATAAGCGCTACAGTCTTTAAAGTTTCTTATGTATGCCGTTTTTAGTAAAAGACGCAAATGCAGAATATATATGTGTTGTTATGGTGCCCCAAACATGAGCAATAATTGCTTTTTAATTCACAATTGCACAAGTATGAACGCTGAATCTTGAGCAACATTGGTAGGCGCTGCGGACAGGGTCGACCGTTTCAAGTACCTGATGCCGTTAAAAGTGGACAAACAGACAAATGTACAGACAGACAGACTAAAATTTTTGCGTCAGAGGTCCCCAAAAAAGACTATCGTCCTTAAAAAAGCTTGTCTTTCTCAATCGAATATTGTGATGGGGACCTGCCCTTTTGATCAGCAATGGCTCAATTGTCTCTCTTTCAGCACGAGTGCTTGCTCTCCTAAGAAACGTGGTTAGACTCAACCACAGCGTTTGCAGTGCTCTTCCAGGTGCCCGCCAATGTTTCTGCTGACCGCTAAGCGGTTCTCCCTTGCACAATCGTTTAAACTATGCTGGAATGAGTATAAACCAATTTTTAGAGCTTTTACTATTTTATTTGAAGTCCACCATCACGTGTTCTAACGGTTCTTATTATGTCAAAAAAAAAAAAAAAACAGCATCTGCACCAGTTCATCTGTGGCCCCTATCTTGTGTGACATCTTTTTTTCATTCATTGACAGATACATCCAGGCCAAAACCGACAATAGCAATGTTGTCAAGATTCGCATATACATCGACAACTATCTTGTCTTGTGTTTTTAAGTGTACCTTATGCTAGCCTTGATGCTGCTGTTGCACAATATGTTTTCCTAATGCTGTAGATACACTCATAAACAATTGTTTTGAAATGTAATCCCTGAAGCCACCGCACTGATTACTTAGGCCAAAACCAAAAAATCACGACAAATACTCACTATTTCTTGCCACACAACTGGAAAGACTATTTCTGGTATGTCAGTCAGTCCCCTGTAAGAAAACAATGACATGGTAAGGCCACAAAGAATGGGAAAATTATAAGAAAGTACTAAGGGGCTCAAGTATCACAAACCACAGGACTTTCTGGCAGAACTTGAGACTAAGTATTTCTCATACTTTTTTTTTACAAACCGCCATGCATGTGCTAATTTAGCTGTAGGTGCATGTAATGGGTGTTTACCGCTCGGGCATGTAGGCCCAGGGCCCTTATCTATAAAATTCGTCCGATCAGCCAATAACGCCAGAATATAGAGGCACAAGTACAAGTAGCGATGTGCACATTTAAACAAATGAAAAGCAAGCACTCTATAAGGATCTAATCAAGAGCAACTACCAAAGAACCTTTATTCTGAAAGCACGACAACGCTCGCCAAGAAATTCAGCGTCCGGCCCATGAATCAACACTACAACAGAAACACCATGCACACGTATGTCTGCGGCATGAGTGAAACCATTCCGCGTAAAGAAAAGAAGACATCTAAATTACTCACATGCTTTCTACATATTTCCAAAAATTGCCCACCCAGGGAGACAGCCAAAGGCACTCTATACTTGAAGAGCTTGCAAAAAGGGAACTTTAGTACAGCATGCGACGGCTTCGACAACCCATTAACCCATCCAACCCCACTCACGCCTATGCAAACACCACGACCTTTTGTCCACTGCCCTGTGATTGGGCAGGCGCCCGCATGATGGAAAGAGTAAACAGGGTAAACCATTTATACGGTTGGGACACCCACCAGTTGAATAAGTGCTTATGCAGCTTCTCCAGTTATTCGTCTGTAGCACGGCCGTAGAAGTGCTATAGTTGGCAAGCTTGCTCCTCACTTTCAGGAAAATAAGCAGACTACCATCGTTGTTACTTACGTCATTGCACGTGTGGTACCACGTTGTTTGCGCTTCCGTGTCTATTAGAAAATAGCAACGTTCCTCATATGTGTGGTGGCTGAAACTTCTAGGGATGTCTAATAATTGCTCTAGGGTGGGGTGCTCAATGCCTACAAAATCTAGCCTGCAACACGGTTTTACTCATTTACAGCAAGGCCTTATGAGAAAGAGCGACTGAAGCAATGGATCCTTGCATTGGAACAGACGAGCCGCTCCGACATTGTGCGAGTTAATGCATCGCTTCTTGTTCTCCAGCTTTTCTTCTGCCGTATTGGCACTCGTTGGATGCATTCGATCATGTTGACGCTGGTAAACGACGAAAGTTATCGTAGCCTAAGCATGTGTTGGTTCGGTTCGACTGCCGTGCCAGGGCACTTCACTTGAACGTTCTGTATTTATTATTTACAGAAGCAACAATGCTGCAATCGTTAACTTCAGAAAGAACAAGCAGTGATTTAGACATTGCATTTGTAATCAAAACAAATCGGATGTTCACCACGAAGTCCACCTCATACCTGGGCCTCATTACGCTGGTCTGCGCGAAGCTCCTATCATATTCACTGGCTTGAGGACTCGCTCCACCTAGAGAGCAGGGCTGACAGTTCATTCTCCTTTGCAGTAGGAGGTGATCACATGACTCCTCAGCGACCCTATTCAAAACTTGTAACTGCTCCGTCGACATCATCTCTTGATACTTTTCAACAGCCCAGTGACCGCACTACATCCTCAAACATGTCTCCTCTGGTCGAGTGAACCACGCTTTTCCTTGAGCAAAAAACTTCACTGACGCCTCATTGACTGACCCTCCGTGCTTCCATCACTGTGCCCTCGTGCCTGGAAGCCAGGGAAGCTTCTTCATGATTCGTGTATGCGTAGCGCAGCGAAAGCTGTGATGAAAGAGCCACATCCTTCTCAGATTCGTTTGTCGAATCAGACTGTGCCACTTCAACTTCTCAAGTTCTCCCGATCTTGCGTGGTGTCGGGGCTCGGGGGTTAGAAGGATCCCACCGCTGCCTCCAATTTGTTGGGACCGGGTCCGACCGGTCTCAACTGTTAGCTGGCCATCGTCACCGAACCCATCCTTTGTAGTGAGGAAATGTACTCATTTAGGACAGGCGGCGGTTTATTTACATCCCATGAGGATAGAGAAGAAGAAGTAGAAGAGGAAAGGAGTAAAGTACAACAGTTTTCGACTTATATAGCCATCCGTTGAACAACCCTGGGGCACTTGTTCTGACCAATCGGACGGCGACCATATCGGATGGCAACCAATCTGACCGCAGCAACCCTAAGTGCTTCCCCCCTCTCCTTGTTCGCTGGCGAGTTAAGCACGTGCACAGATGAGCCCAGCCAGAAAGGCAATGTATGCTCCGCAGAAAAAGGAGGCTAGTGCATCTTTCCCCGTGTATAGTCGAGCCCACGTATAACGGCCCCACTTGAAACGAACTTTCGCTTAAAAGGAATAATATCCGCGTGACCGTGAAAATATACATTGGTTCAATGGTACAAAATCGCACTTACAACGAACGTCTCGGAGCGCCGCTGATCGGTTACAGCAAACAGAGTCGACGCTCTGCCGACTTCCCGGGAAACCACTTTCAACCACGGATCAGGCATCGGCGAGGTCCCCATACATTCTTATTGTTAAAGGCCGACCCTGCCTCCACGCCCCTCTAGTTGCCGCTCTCCCCGACCGCTTTTTGTTACGCACCCCTCCGTCCTTTGCCCCCCCCACTACTCTGAGCACTCCGCATCGCCGGACGAGGCCTGTGTTTTCATACTGCCACCGATCTTTCGAAGACCGGTCGGCCATCTACCCTGTTTTTGATCGCTGGTACTGTCGTTGGAGTCGCCGGCCTGGAGTGACCAGACCATTTCCCAACATTGTCGGCCACCGACTGTATCCGATCGTTTGCGTCTAGAGCACGCGCGTAACTGCCCCACCGACTTTGATAATTTGCCATTCGTTTCGTGTTTAGGGCTTGTTCTAGCTCACTTCGCACTCGGCTCAGCATGCCCTCCGCACGCATGCGGAAGCGCGAAAACGGCTGTTAATTTGCGCGGAACGAATCGCGAAATATCGAACTTGGTGAGGCCATGGAAACCCGCCAGCGTGAGTTCGAAGTTCGAAAACTCTATCTCAAGTTTTTTACACAAGCGAGTTGCACGTTTCACAGACCTTTCAAGCTAGCTACCCAACCTGTCTCCTTCCTGTGTGTTTTGGTTTTCATGGTCGCCCTCCCGTCACATCCTCCCCTTTCTATTGCAACTCCTTGCCCTTCTCTCGCAAATCTGCTCTCCTCTCTTGATCACAACCACCGCCATAACCTGTCCTACCACCTTTTTGAACACCGTAACAAATTACCTTGCATTGTAAAAAAAAAAATGGCTTTCACGTTTTCATATATGTACCCACCCCTTATGTAATACCCCTTCAATGGGGTCTTTAAGGTAATAAAATGAAATGAAATGAAACAACCCCTTTGCCCGTCTCCACCGCTCCGCGACGCCAGCCACGCTGGCTTGAATTAGTTTCATTTTCTGACTAGAAACGAGCCCAGAGCTGTTCCACGCGTTCTGGCATGCATGTCACGTGTGCGCGTCTTGCTCGCTCTTGGTGTGCGTGTGTGGTCACGATGGCAGACGGGAGGACTTGCACGCTTTGTCCGGCCGCTCAACAAAATGTCGAAAGTGTGACCGCTTGGCTTGAGCGTAATCCGCGCGTTAGGTGCCGCGTTGCGGAGTGTTTGCTCTCAGCTCTTGACCACCTGGCAGCCAACTTGCTGCTTCGGGGGTCCCGGTATTCAGCTGTGGAGATGGTGAATATTTTGTGGGCGGCGGTGACGGGTACAGGCGCGCGACACTGTTTCCGCGAGGCAGACTTCGTCGACATCAGGCCCGATTCCGAGCCTGAAGCTTTCGAACAGGACCACTCCGGCAACGATTTGTGGCAGCGCGTCGTTGACTCCGACCTGGGAGAGCGGGTGGGACATTTGTTGCGATGGTTTAATTACGGCCAGTGATGATGCCGAAACTGCGGAAACGTGCACGGATTAGGGCATTGTGAATGAATTAAGTAGCGAGAGCGATTTGGAGGAATCTGATTGCGAGAACAACGATACTTTGGAGCCAGTGCCCCATGCAGCTTATGCCACGGGCCTCGGCGAACGAGCACCCTGCCATTTTAAATAAACTCGAGACCGCCCTTATCGCTTCTGCTTTTCGAAACGCGCGCATTGATTGATTTGTGGGGTTTAACGTCCCAAAACCACCATATGATTATGAGAGATGCCGTAGTGGAGGGCTTCGCAAATTCTGACCACCTGGGGTTCTTTAACGTGCACCCAAATCTGAGCACACGGGCCTACGACATTTCCGCCTCCATCGGAAATGCAGTCGCCGCAGCCGGGATTTGAACCCGCGACATGCGGGTCAGCAGCCGAGTACCTTCGAAACGCGCGCATCACAAACTTTTTGGGCAAAAAAAGTTTGTGTTTTCACTCGCAACTTTTTTAAAAGCTGTGTTTCATTTACTACGAACTTCGGCATACAGTGAACAGATGCCGCGTCAGGCTCAGGTTCGTTATAAGTGGGCTCGACTGTGTGTGTATATATGTATATATATATATATATATATATATATATATATATATATATATATATATATAAAATAAGGGAAAGAAGTGTATACCTAAGGGCTCGTTTTTCCGTGTTTTAACAGAATATTAATGAGATATAACAGACAGTAATGCCAAGGAATGTACAGGGAGAGTTATTAGAACCAATGGAATGTAAATAAGAAAGAAAAGTGGATGAAAAAATAACGAGCAGTGGGCAGGAATCGAACCTACGACCTTCGAATAACGCGTTCTATGCTCTAACCACTGAGCTACCACAGCGGCCTTCCCTCCATCCACTTTTTTGGGTTTATATGTGAATTTAGAAGTAGGAGTGACAGTCAGCGCCATCTATCCATCTATTTTATCTCGCCATCTATTTATTTTATCTAGCCATCTATTTTCATCCACTTTTCTTTCTTCTTATTTACATTCCATTGGTTCTAATAACTTCCCCTGTACATTCCTTGGCATTACTGTCTGTATATCTCATATATATATATATATATATATATATATATATATATATACATATATACATATATACATATACGTCAGTCACGGCGGTGGGGGCGACGGAAAAAAAAACAGCCGAGACTGCCCATATAATTTCTATCGCAATAAAAAAGGCTGGCAACAACGATAATCACGATGGTCTGCCTATCAGTGGAATTACTGCGCTGTGTCCCAACCAAAAACGAATTTAATTAGCAGTACCAGCTACACTTTTAAAAACCACATGAATCTGAGGCAACTTTGCAGTGGGCTCGTGTTAATATTTTAATTAGTTACACAGAAACACTTCTTGTGCTGACGAGTTGTAATTGCGGACTACGTATCCGAACCCTCATCTACACGGAGTTTTGTTCATTGGCTTTGCGTACCAGATGCTGCTGCACATAGTTGCGTGTGTGTGGAGTGCTAGCAGTCGCTGTGTGCTTGGTGCGATGTGCATGGCTGCTGGAGTAGTGATCGTTCAGTCCAATTTGTCTGCACACAATACCCCGCAGGCTGTGTTGAACGCCCTGGACACAATTAACTCGTTTTTCAGCTAATTCGATGACTACGTGGCAATGTACCACTTTTCACAATGTGGGTCGACAGTTATGAAGTAGCCGCAGGGAGAGGCTTGGCAAAGTAGGCGTATGGGCTTTTGGCAATAAAATGTGCTTTTAGCTCCCCGTCTTTTCTGCTCGATTCGTGCACCAACAAAATTTTGGCAAGAGCAAAATTTTTTGCTTTTCCCGGCAATTTCGTTACCGTGAGTTTCAACTGTATCTGAATGTTATCGCACCATAATCCTGTTCGTACTCTGCATTATAGTTGAATAACTAGGCTTGTGCGAATATTCAAATGCTTTAAATGGCGAGTTGGTGAGTTGAATGTTGGAAACGTCGCATTCGCGGTACCTTGTGTATGCAGTATGTCACTTGCATTTGTTATATTGTCAATGCAATTTATTGACATTATATATCTGGTTATTTAGTGTATTAGTAATGTACTATACTCGGCTGGTAAGCCAGCAATTGTAAAACCAGTGAATAAGTGCACACCTGTTCGTTTACGCAACGGTGTGACTGTGTAATTGCTCAGACCTTGCAAATAATTGTGCAGTCTCTATCTTCCTTGCGCCACATGCTTTGTGGGGCAAGGATCCCAAACATTAGATCAAGAAAGCAGGACATTTGAATAGGGTGGACTGACACAAGTATCAAGCATTGTTTTCTTTACACGCACTAATTGATTGATTGATTGATATGTGGGGTTTAACGTCCCAAAACCACTATATGACTATGAAAGACGCCGTAGTGGAGGGCTCCGGAAATTTAGACCACCTGGGGTTCTTTAACGTGCACCCAAATCTGAGCACACGGGCCTACAACATTTCCGCCTCCATCGGAAATGCAGCCGCCGCAGCCGGGATTTGAACCCGCGCCCTGCGGGTCAGCAGCCGAGTACCTTAGCCACTAGACCACCACGGCGGGGCAACTTTACACGCACTAGCGATGAACTTTTGTCTTTCTTGAACAAGTGTCAAGAGCTGACTGACTCAATGCCTTTGTTTAGTAATCTTGGGAAATACTACTCCATGCATTACACTGAAGATTTCGTTGGTGATGACAAAGCCAAGTGCACGGTTCCAACTGACCATATCTAGTAGGAATGCCATTAAATCCACTTTTCCCAACATGAATGACGCTGAAGTAAGCCATTATCAACCTACTGAAGTTTGAAGTTCCATGATCACAAGACACCAAAGCCCAAACTTTGAAGCTACGTGTGTACTCTTATTGACTTGTTTTTTTTTTTTTTGGGGGGGGGGGGGGGGGATAAAGGCGGAAGACTATGCAGCAAAGAAAATTTTTGCTTACGTGATGAGAGAGTTTTTCTTGAGGACCATATTCAGCTGGATACGTCCCTTCAGGCAGACAGTGAGACCCAGCTTCTGCAGGGGTAGAAATAGCGAGACAGGAGTGCCTTAGACATCACTTTCACAATAATTTTTTTGGTTGCTTTTCTTTTACGATCGTTAGCTGATGTAAGAAATGACAGAAGGGTATTTTAGTATTTCAAGTCACTTATAGTACCAAATGCAGTTAATACAAGTCAAAAATTCAGTATTGCCCTAAAAGTGGAACTAAATGGCCACTAGAGCAGTGGTTTGCCGAAGCCAAATTGTTTCAACTCTGTCTACTTTGAAAACTGTCGCAAAGAAATTATCACAACAAAACAAACAAAGTTGCGATGGATTGAAAAAAACCAAATTAAATGGAAGTCTAGTGCACCTGTTGGATTAAGCAATGATACTGCATAACATATACAAAATCACAGACACTGGGACAACTATGTAGATTACACCAAGTGCCACCTTCCAATACACATTCGCTAGCCAACTATATTCGGCCATTTCAGCGATGCAGGCGGCGCCATGCAGCCATGCTCCAAAGCTGTCACACGGTGATAATCTGCGATGTAGTTCGGTCTCTCGGTAGTCATGAAGCAAAGAATGCGTCTTCATGCTTTACAACGCTGACGTGCACGCTCTCGACATCACCGTCTCGTCCGACCATTTCGACGTATTGTTGCGCCGCCTATAGTCGCTGGTACGGTCCAATAGCCGACTAAAAGAGCAATCCATAATAAAATGGTGACACAAAGCCTAATGAGCAAACCATGAAGGAGGGCTCTGAACTTGTTTTGCAACAATAACATGAAGTTTGCAAAGCATGATGCACAAGTGCTCTTGAGTTGCACCCACTGGAATACTGCTGTTACAACTAGAAATATTATATGTCATTTGCCAAGCAGCAGAATGTCATTTCCACAGACCTGTAATAGCAGCTAATACATAGTACTATAGTGATGACCTCTTTTAATCCTATTGGGAGCCTGCACATGGTACTTGAGTAGGCTATACACCATGCTACACACAATATTAGATGAATACATCTTTTTTTTTCATTGAAGAAAAATAAGTAAAATAATGTTCCTGATGCGACAACACGACAAATGCTCTCGCTCACCATTTTTAGTGGCACAAGGCAATAAGCGAACATGTTAAAACGGATCCGGCTAAACAAAAAAGGACTGGTAATTTACAGAACAAGTTTACAAGCAGTCAACTGCCTGTGTTGTAGTACATGTGATGTGAAAATTCATTCAGTCTTTCTCACAAAAGTATTTCACAATCACAATGGCCCCAATAAAGCTGAATTATGTAGATAGCCATGATGACATCAGGCTTACCACATAAAAACTGACCATAGCAACAAAATGAAAAAAAAAGCTAAAAAGTTGCCAACCTGGACTATGGTAGGAGAAGTAGTCAAAAGTAGTCTCAAATGTCTGAAAACAACTGCATCATTTTATAAATGACTAAATGCAAGAACCTCTTGGTGGTCAATTAAATAATTACAGCAAGAACATTTCAAAATCATATTTGCTGCAATTAAACCATAAATTGGTATTTCCAGCAATCATATCATACAGAATGACAAGGTTCCTTGCATTTTTGCAGCAATTACACTGTTCAGGCACCTTCTGTGGCCTAATTTTTTGTCTTGGGGACAGTAAAAATGGGTAGTGCTCAAAATCACAGTTGTTGGAATGAAAGCATCAACTGCAGTGACTTTTGCAATATTTTTTCTTGCGATGAAGAATTACGAGCAGATTATCTTCGGGAGTCCCGTTCTGTGCCTATACACACAATCCTGAGGAATAACATGGACAGTTCATCAGGTAACTTATTTCTAATGTCAATGCGTGTAGTGCACCCTGGATGCAAAGTGCTTTCTATTATCTTGTTTCTTTCCAATTGTATTTTAAGGTCCCATTCAGCAATAGGCAGTCTACTAAATGAGGCCCCATGAAACAGTTTTCCTCCAAGTCCCAGCATCGTATCCAGAGTGTTCTATTCCACGATTCTGTTTGCTATAGCACACCGAGCACAGAATGAAACCCGATCACACTTGCCTATGCAATCCTCACTTTGGACTAAGGACAAGTCTCCACTGAAATACATTTCTGCCAACGACACTGACCTTGGTTGCCCTGTTTTGGCGCAACATACTCGACCACCAGTGGCCGTGACATCACATTATATTGATTCAGTTCAAACTGAGTGAACAAGAAAGCAGCTGAAAAGTAGCCAGGCAGCTACTTTTTCATGCCGCTTCCAGCCTAAAAATGTAGCCGAATCGGTGCAGAGCAGCAGAGTCTGGTGACACTTGATGACATTACTACAGTGATGATACTATCACAATGACTCACTCTAATGCTCAAATATTTCAACTTGGCCTTCACACTAGCAGGGTGCAAGTAGGGTGAGGCAATGCACCGTGACTGGGTCAGACTCTGAGAGAGGCAAAAATTACTTGAATAAGGATTCATGATAATCTCAAGTGCTCTGGGGACCTGCAACTTACAGGCTCCAAGTCCAGTTGAAAGCGATGCAGACTGCCATTGGGTTGCAGCCCCTCCACTTGCTCCAAGTAGTAAGGGTCAGCCATGTAGAAATGTGGGAAAGACAATGCCACGGGTAAATCTGGAAAAAGATACAAACTAGTATTTGAACCATCATATACTTAAGCACAAATTAAAACACATCCCTGAAAAAGACTCGAACAAGCTTCAGCTCTTCACCTTCCTAATCTGGTGACATTCTCCAGTGACAATTTTGGAGCATATTAATTTTTTTTATGAGCAACCTCATATCTTCACAGACAATGAATAGAAAACCTTAAAATATCACTCAAGTCTACAACTGAAACCGCACAGTTTTACATAAAAAGCTGTTACGAGATCAAAACAAGTGTCACGTGTGCCATAGCTGTCACCGTTGGTGTTTGTAATAACTAAAGCGCAAAATAAGAAAAAATCTAAGTACATAAAAACACCAAGGATACAATGGAATTCAAACCTCGGTCCCCTGCATGTCAGCCCAGTATTTTATGACAGGACCACACCGGTGCTTGAAACTTCATTGCAAAGTGGCCTTAGACGGGCTTTACGTCGGGGAAAGGAAGCGCGTTAATATCAGTAACAAGTGATTGTGATAGCAAAGAAACAACCAGGCATCACACAAAGTGAACTGCTAACAAGTGGGTCATCGAATGCTCCAACCAATTAGAAATACAAAAGTGTCAGGCATAATTGATCGTTGTCAGTCACAGCCTCAAAAAATTGCACAAAATTCCTTGCAAGTGTGTAGTGGGTATCAGGCTTCTTTCTCCAAAGAATGATGAATGATGGCATAGTGAATGCCTCCCTACTACACCAAAATGATGATTTACAGTGTAGTGAGTACCCTTCAAGTGTACTTGTAGCAGTTACCCAAAGCGTGTTTAAAAAAGCTCTCAAAGGCTGCTCTTCCAGCTTTTGCTGTGACTGTGCTGCGCCTTCCGCGCAGGCCTGGCAGTGTTTTTGAAATGAACAACATCTAGTATTTGTCTCTAACAAGAGCAAAAATGCTACAATGCCCTTTAAAACGTCAAGTAATAAAGGGGTCCTGCAACACTTTTTGAGCAAGGTCAGAAAATGCTGCCGATCAGTAGTAGAAGCTCCCGACAACACGCGAGCCAAATATCATAGCGCAGCATGTGGCCTGGAATTCACAATAAATTATAAAAGTCAGCTGAAAATAGCTTTCTCATCTCACGACAAATCACGGAATAAGCCCAAAAATCACTCGTAGTAAGCCCATCTATCAGCCATCGGCTTATTTGAACGTAGCGCGCTAGGTTGTTACAGAGACCGCCGCAAAAGGCCGTCAGTTGTCCACGTGTGCGCGCGATCGCATTAAAAAAAAAAAACAAAAAAAACGCGTATTCAAAGAAAAAGAAAAGAAAGAAGTGCTCAAGTTCACAAGGCGCGAGTGAAATTTTTTGTTTGCCCCTCCCATTCTTCCCTGCTTAGCTTACGAGAAAAAAGAGAATGCGATTGCAGCGTGCAACAAATCTTTGTAACTCCGCTCGTACTGGACGGATTCTTAAAATTTTCGCGCCGTTCAATTTGTGACGTAATACACATTTCCAGTGAATTAATTCCATGGTTACTCAAAAAAGTGTTTCAGGGCCCCTTAAATGATTTATGAACAAAGATTGTTTGCCCCTCCCATTCTTGAACTGAATAACTATTCAGCTCAAGAATGAGCAGATCAATAAATTGATCAGCTCATCATGACAATGGACCAATGACAGTGAAGATTTGAATTATCACTTTTCACAAGTTAACTGCTTGATGTCACTTCAACTAGAAAACTCACTGCAAAATATGCTCACAAGAGTACTTTCAAATATAAAGTTTTAAGTAGGAAATATTTTTTTAGACAATCAAAGATACCCTTTCATCATGATCAGCATATTATATGTCAAACTATATACACTAAAAATAACATTAAAACAACCAATTTCTCGACATAAATTGCTGATTTACAGTTAACTTAAGTGGAAACAATAACAGAAATGGTCAAGCTTAAAATAAATATTTCATTTTCAACCTGTACAAAAATTTAAACATGACCGGAACAAACATCGTAAAGCCTACTTATTTCACACATATGCAGCTTTTAGAGTTAAGGACTGTCACCGAGGGGCATGATGATATGTGGGGTTTAACGTCCCAAAACCACCATATGATTATGAGAGGCGCTGCAGTGGAGGGCTCCATAAAATTGGACCCCCTGGGGTTCTTTAACATGCACCCAAATCTGAGCACACGGGCCTACAGCATTTTCGCCTCCATCGAAAATGCAGCCGCTGCAGCCGGGATTCGGTCCCGCGACCTGCGGGTCAGCAGCCGAGTACCTTAGCCACCAGACCACCGCAGTGGGGCTCACAGGGGGGCACTGACAAGAAAATATATTGAGGTAACTGTTGCTGGATTTACAAATTTAGGGACTCCTGCAACACTTTAATGGTCAGAAAATGCTGAACATGCCCTCACGAACGCATGGGCGGAGAGTTTTTCTATTCCTGGAGAAGGTAGGGCGCCCTACATGCTTTTTCACACCCCTCTCTCTCTCCATTACAAACACACAAACACACACACGTAATATATATATACACATTATATATATATATATATATATATATATATATATATAATATATATATATTGTCGCAGTACAACGCGAACAAAGCACAAGTACGCCTTGAGGCAGCAAAAGCAGCGTGTTCTCAACAGCTGAGCCACAAGATCTTCTTCGTTCTCGCGTCAAGCCAGAGGCCCACTACGTGGTGTCCGCTAAATCCCCCCATCATCGTTTTTGTCCACATGTAGACACGGGTCATTTGCCTCCCTCTCAAAGAGCATCGACCCGATGCGAAGTCAATAATGCAGTTTTTGTTAAAATATAAGTCTCACGCAATCCCTCGCTCACATAAGGCTTCATGCGCACTACGTGAACGAGTTCAGGATGGTGCTGGCGACGATTGGTACTACACGAATTGTCGGGAACAACTTCGTAAGTGACGTCACTCAGTTGTCGCAGCACTCGGTATGGCCCAAAGTATCTTCTTAAGAGCTTTTCTGATAGTCCTCGTTTCCGTACGGGTGTCCAAATCCATACTTTGTCGCCAGTTTGATAGACAACTGCTCTGCGGTGAGCATTGTAGCGGCCTGCATCGTACTCTTGCTGCTGGCGGATCCGTAAACGTGCCAGTTGTCTAGCTTCTTCCGCGCGTTCCGTAAACGTGTTGGCGTCTGGGTCGATGTCGTCACTTTCGTGCAGCAGCATCGCATCTAACATAGTTCGTACTTCTCGTCCATGAACGAGGCTGAACGGGGTCATGCGGGTCGTTTCTTGCTTGGCCGTGTTGTACGCAAACGTTATGTATGGTAAGATTTCATCCCAATTTTTGTGTTCTATGTCTACGTACATCGAAAGCATGTCTTCAATTGTTTTGTTCAGACGCTCCGTCAGCCCGTTTGTTTGTGGGTGGTAGGCAGTGGTCTTACGATGCGTTGTTCCACTCAGCATCAGGACGTGATCCAAAAGAGCTGCCGTAAATGCGGTTCCTCTGTCTGTGATCACGACGGTTGGTGCACCATGCCTCAGTACAATATTTTCGATGAAAAACCTGGCCACCTCCGCTGCTGTACCTCTCTGAATAGCTTTTGTCTCGGCATAACGGGTCAGATAATCCGTTGCGACGATAACCCAGCGGTTTCCTGCAGTGGACATAGGAAGTGGGCCCAAAATGTCCATGCCTATCTGGTAGAATGGAGCTGTTGGGACCTGCACGGGTTGCAGTAGGCCAGCTGGTTTAGTCGGTGGTGACTTGCGTCGCTGGCAGTCGAGACAGGTACGAACGTGGTGCTTCACGGCTGTGGTTAGTCTCGGCCAGTAATACCTTTGCTGTACTCTGGCCAACGTTCTCATGTCCCCCAAATGGCCAGAGGTCACCTCGTTGTGGCATGCTTTGAGTATTTCGGTACGAAGGGCTGCTGGTATGACGAGCAGATAGGCGGATCCTGTCGACGAAAAGTTTCTTTTGTAAAGTACTCCGCCCCGTAAACAAAACGATGACAATACTCTTGCGAAAACTCTTGGCGCCTTCTGAGATCTGCCTTCCAAGTGGTTAATTAAGCCAAGCAACTCAGTGTCGTCACGTTGTTGCTGCGCATGGCGGTCGTGTCGAGGACACCGAGAAATGCCGTTTCCTCCTCCTCGGGTAGGGTTGCCGACTCAATGGGTGAACGGGACAGACAGTCAGCGTCCATATGTCGCTTGCCTGACTTGTGCACGACCGTCATGTCAAACTCTTGCAGTTTTAGGCTCCAACGCGCTAATCGGCCGGTGGGATCTTTTAGATTAGTTAACCAGCAAAGGGAGTGATGGTCACTAATAACTTTGAAGTGTCGGCCATACAAGTACGGGCGAAATTTCATTACTGCCCATACTACGGCGAGACATTCTCTGTTGTTGAATAGTTAGCCTCTGCGCGTGTTAGTGTTCGGCTTGCGTAGGCGATCACTCTTTCTGTGTCCTCTTGCCGTTGCACAAGCACAGCCCCAAGACCTACATTGCTAGCGTCTGTGTGAAGCATCGTCGGGGCTTCTTCGTCGAAGTGGGCGAGCACAGGTGGCGTTTGGAGACGTTGACGCAGGTCATTAAAGGCAGCCTCCTGTTCTTTCCACTCAAAGGCAACATTATCTCTTGTGAGACGAGTTAGTGGCGACGCGATGCGGGCGAAGTCAGCAATAAACCGGCGATAATAGGCACAAAGGCCTAGGAAGCGTCTGACAGCCTTCTTATTGGAGGGTACGGGGAACTGTGCGACGGCGGCAATTTTTCCAGGATCGGGCCGGACGCCTGCGTTGCTGACGACGTGACCGAGAAACTGAAGTTCGTGAAAACAGAAATGGCACTTTTCTGGTTTCCATGTTAGGCCCGCGAACCGTATGGCACGTAAAACAACTTCCAGCCTTTTGAGATGCTCGTCAAAAGTGGTCGAAAACACTATAACGTCGTCCAGATAGACTAGGCACGTCTTCCACTTCAATCCCGAAAGTACCGTGTCCATAAGCCTTTGAAAAGTTGCGGGCGCGAAGCACAAACCGAAAGGCAAGACTTTAAATTCGTATAAACCATCTGGGGTCACAAAAGCGGTTTTCTCTCGGTCTCTTGGGTCTACCTCGATCTGCTAGTAACCACTCCTCAAGTCCATGGAAGAAAAGTAGCGAGCGTGCCGAAGTCTGTCAAGGGAGTCATCAATACGTGGGAGCGAGTACACATCTTTCTTGGTCACCCGATTCAGCTTCCTGTAGTCCACGCAAAACCGCAGGGTGCCGTCCTTTTTCTTTACTAGCACTACAGGCGATGCCCAGGGGCTCTGTGACGGTTGAATGACGTCATCTGCAAGCATTTTCGCGACTTGTTGTTGTATGGCTTCGCGTTCCTTTGAAGCTACACGATAAGGGTTCTGGTGGATAGGTCTCACCGTGTCCTCGGTGATTATTTGGTGCTTTGTCAAAGGTGTTCGACCAACTCGTGATGTCGTTGAAAAGCAGTCGCGAAATTCGGCTAGCAGCTCAAGAAGTCTCGTTCGTTCGTCCTTTGACAGAGTGGTGCCAACATCGTGAATGGGGTCTGGTTCTGGATTAGGGTATTCGTCCAATACCGACAAACATAAACTGCCTCGCATTTCTACAATAGTGTTGTACGAAGCGATAGCTGTGCCCTTCGGAAGGTGCCGGCGCTCAGCACTAAAGTTCGTCAGAAGTAAATTCGTGCGTCCACGAGTGAGACGGACGACACCTCGTGCGACCAAAATGCCATGACTAAATAGCAGCGAGCCAATTTTGTCAGCAATGCCTTCGCCATCAAACGCTTCGTCGCCTTCTACTGAAACAAGAGTGCATGACTGGGGCGGGACGACCACTTCATCATCAATTATACGTAAAGTGTTGCGTATTGCGTCTGAACAGTCAACTAAACCAGAGCTGTTGCGGAATGTAATTGAACGGTCCGGGATGTTGATGACGGCACCGTATTCTCTTAAGAAGTCCATCCCTATAATCAAGTCCTTGCAACACGAGGTGAGGATGACGAACGTCGCCACGAAAGCAGAGCCACCGATGTCGAGTCTTGCTGTACACCTTCCGACAGGCATCAACAGCTGGCCGCCTGCTGTCCTCAGGTGAGGTCCCGTCCACATAGTCTTCACTTTTTTGAGGCGTACGGCAAGGTTTTCACTTATGATAGAAAAGTCGGCGCCGGTGTCAACTAAGGCTGTTACTTGCTGTCCGTCTACCGAAACGGTAAGATCTGTGGTCACAGTTTCGTCGGTGTTACAACTTCTCGGCTTTACGGGGTCCTGTGGTACAAGTAATGGGGGCTTTTTTTCGTCGCCTTGACGGCCTGCAACCTCACCCCCGGAGGTCGCCGCCTTCAGTTTCCCCGGCGTGGACTTGGTGACCTCCTTCCACTGACGTCGGCTGTGGTTCGGTGGCGCGACGAAGGCGAATATGCCGGAGACGGAGAGCGTGGTCGACGTCCCAAACCTGGCTGGTAATCAGGCACACTGTCGTCATTATTGGCACGGCGGTTGTCAAAATGGGACTGAGACAAGGGGAGTCCTTGAGAATGGGTGTCCCGGCGTGGTGCGTAGCCGTCGTTGGCGCGTCGATCGTCAGACCATTGCCGAAGAGGTCGAAACATATCTACGCGGTGCCAGCAATGGCGGGAAATGTGGCCCACACCTCCGCAGGTAAAGCAAAGCGGGCGCCTATCTACAGTGCGCCAGGCGTCTGTTTTACGAAGCTGTGGACGCCGCAACGGCTCGTAATGTGGCAAATGCCGTGTCCCGTTGGGAGACGGCTCTTGGTACGGCGGTACGACGGCAGGTCGTCGCGGTGTCTGTTCTTGTGGCGACCAAGGAACGGCTGCCGATGGCTGGCGGTACGACGGCGCAACGGGCGGCGGGCGACGAAGCGCGGCTGCGTAGCTCATAGGTCGCTGATCGTCAGTAGCATCAGCTGTTGAAAACGCTTGGCGTATTTCTTCGCGGACGACTTCAGCGACAGACGCCGTGGGTGGTTCCGTGACCAGATTCCGGAACTTCAGCAGCTCTTCGCGAACAATCTCTCTTATCAAATCGCGCAACGAGCTTTGATTTTCAGATGCCGTAGCGCCGACTTGCATGTGGGCGCTGCTGGACAAGCGATCGTATTGTCGGCATCGTAGGTGAAGCGCCCGTTCGATAGCCGTAGCTTCTTTGATGAAGTCTGTCACGGTGGTTGGCGGGTTCCGCAAAAGTCCGGCGAACAATTGCTCTTTAACGCCGCGCATGAGGTAGCACAACTTTTTGTCGTCGGTCATGTGCGGGTCAGCTTTACGGAAGAGACGGGTCATGTCCTCAGCGAACATTGAGACCGTTTCATTGGGTTTCTGAACCCGTAGCTCGAGTAAATGCTGCGCACGTTCGCGCCGGTCGGCATCGGCAAATGTGTCAATCATTCCTCTTTTAAAGTCGCTCCATGATGACAAACTGCCTTCTCTGTTCTCGTACCAAGTTTTAGCGCTGTCGTCGAGATAAAAATAGGCGCGGGAAAGCCTTTGTTCAAGGGACCACTGGTTGGTGTTAGCGACACGTTCATAGTGATCAAGCCATTCTTCAACGTCTTCATGTGCTCCACCACCAAAGCGATCAGGCACCAGCGGTGAAAAAAAGGTTACCTGAGATGGGGTTGGCAAACTACTGTCTCGTAGTAACTGTTGTGGATTGGCGGTGGCCATTGGTAGACCTGAGCGGTGCTTTGTAGAGTGTTCCTGTGAGAGAGTGAACTCTGGAAGGAGGCCTCGCAAGCGACGACTGAAGCGATGCACGGGAATGTCGACAAGTGCTTCTGAGCTGGATGAACGGCTCCCCGTGGGAGTGTGGAGCATCAGGCAGGGTTGCGGGCCAGCACCTCCACCAGTGTCGCAGTACAACGCGAACAAAGCACAAGTACGCCTTGAGGCAGCTAAAGCAGCGTGTTCTCAACAGCTGAGCCACAAGATCTTCTTCGTTCTCGCGTCAAGCCAGAGGCCCACTACGTGGTGTCCACTAAATCCCCCCATCATCGTTTTTGTCCACATGTAGACACGGGTCAATATATATATATATATATATATATATATATATATATATATATATATATATATATATATATATAATAGAGAGACAGATTTATTTACAGAAAGGCAGAGAGGTCGGCCTATGCGATAGCAGATGACTTCTCTCGTTCAGACAAGCACAAGGGCACTAGAAGCCAGGCAGGGAGGGATGGCGCAGGGGAAAGAAGTTGCACAGGTCATGACCTTGAGCACTTTTCACTTTTTTCCTCTCTTTTAAAGTGCGGCTTGCAGGCGAGGGCATGTGGTGGCTTCTCGCATCAGCCTACGGTGTTAAAGTCGGCCAATGCTGGTGAATTTGAGTATATGGTGTGGCCATTTGGTATTAAGGTGTCATTTGTAGAAAGGGGATTCATTTTTAACTGGCTAAAGGTTCCAGGCTAAAATTTTTGGCTCGCGCATACTTGGAAGCTTCGACTACTGAACGGCAGCATTTTCTTACAATGCTGAAGTGTTATATAGAGACCGTTAAAGAACAAGTTGAAGTTAGAAATTACAAGCTGTTAGAGTACCTAGCTGATACACCATGATAGACTCAATGCAAAGGATAAAGGAACACATGAAAATACAACTCGTTGAACCAAACCACATACATTTTAATGAGCTGAACATTTAAATATTAACATACACCAAGCTCTTCAAAACAGAAATTTTACAAGCCAGATGTGGGTGACTGTTGAAATGAAAAGTTTAAATGATTAAGATGAGCAGCCTATTTATTTTATCAAGAGATTATCATGACTTAGAAGCTGTATTAAGCAGATTGTAATGTTTGCGTTTTTTTTTTTTCTTATCACACCCTGACATAAATGAGTTACAGCTACAGTCCAGTGAGCTACTAATGCAAAACACTAAGGATGAGACCTGCTACAAAGCCTGTGCCACGGATGTTTTGATCAAGGGTTTCAGAAGATGTTAAACAAAATGCTCGAGCTAAAACGTCCACCGTAATATACTTCTGGGCATCGCAACCTGTGGAAAATCTTCGTTATAGCAGAGTAATTACCATGCTGGCATGGGCCGAGGTCCATTACTCCAGAGCGCAGTTTCCGCTTTGTGTCAAAGCAGGCATTTGCAGAGTAGTTTTCCCCATTTTGGAAAGTGGTCTCCGGAGCTACGAACTGCTCCAGTGGAATTTCAAACATTGATGTACTGCCATTATACTGCATTCTGATTGACCTGAAAATGGCCAAAACAGTTGTGTGAGAACAGGGTGTAATACATCACATGAAAAACTCCCGGGACATTGAGGGTAACAAAGGTTACAGTGGCTCAGTAAAATGTTCAACGCTACAGACAACTGGCAAGAACGTGTCGCAAGACACTGGTGGAAGCGATAAACTGAACTATAGTGACAGAATCGTGCATTATCGCAGTTGAATAGGATTTGTATCATAAATGGCATTTGATATTCTCAATAATCAGAACATTGCATAAACAAATGACAAAGTCTAGGTGCAGTGCAAATGAGTTGAATTGCTGCTCATAATCTGCTGCTGTTCTGGCACGCTGCTATTGATGTTTCATTTTATAGCCTGCATATCGCTAGGCATCTTTGCTTTATTCTATGCTTATTACAAAATAAAAGGAGCTGACACTAAGACAACAGTGATGCCTTCATGAAAACTAATAAAACCATGTTGAGCCTCAGTGCACAAACATTAACCACTATCACAACTACTCTCTGCAGATTGTATTGCACATGCTACAGTAGAATCACGATGATACGATTACGGTTGATGCATATTTCGTGACGATACAAATTTTAAGGTTGTTTCGAAAAGACTACATTCTATAAAATACGCCGTGATTTAGTGTTATACGAACGACTTCCCCAGTCACCGCGGAGGATACGAACATGCAATTGACACTGCACGCAAGCTGCACAACGCGGCTTGTCTGTAGAAAAAGGTCCGTTTACACTTGGCCTCGAAGGGAGTGAATGCAGCAAAACTCACTGGAATTTCCCTCCCTTCACTGCCTAAGTGTCCAGAACACCGCTCCACGAGGCCAACAAGAAAAAATCTGTCGAAAACCGATTTTCCCACCTCACCTTTTTGCTTCACAGCTTTGACTACACCGGCTGCACTGAGCTGCATTAGCTCTCAAACCACATGATGTAAACAACCAGCCGGAAATTGAACAAAAGTGGCAAAGGCGTCGGCGGTGGATCGCATCGGCGCAATCGTGAACTGCCGTGCAGCACGTCAAAGCTCACGACCTTGATGAAAACGTATTCATCGAGGGCCTAGTTTGGATTAAAATCACTGAGAACACCGAAAGAAGGTGCAGCCGCAGCAAGTTGGCATGCCCTAACACATCTCAATTTTGTACTGCCGTCTGAATCCATCACCGCCGCTGCCGGTACGTTTGTTCATGTCATTTCTGCTGGCGTATCTCCCGAAAAGTTTGTAAAACGTATAAACTGTTTTTTTTTCTCAGTGCTTTGTATGCATTATTAGAACTCCGTACGTGTTTTAAAGCTAAAAAAACTGGCAAAATAGAATGCCTTCTCAAGCGACAATAGCGGCAGCATGCATGAGGGGCCGAACGAATGAACGTTTTCGACGGACGCAGACGTGGTTTTGCCAGCCGCTCTGGTGTTTTTATTTGAGTTCTCCAGTACTAATTTTTTTTTCATGTCGAATGCACCATAAGGTGGTCCGGTAGCTTAAGCAGCAAGGCGAGTGAATTTTCAATTAATTTTGCTGCTTTCGCTCCACTTAATGTCAAGCATGAATGCGCTTTATATGCCAGCAGCATGAGTGAAGAAACCGCAGCCCTTTATTGAAAGACTGAGAAGGCAGGAAAGCTCAAAAAAACATGATGGACTTTTCCCAGCAAGTAGTAGTTGACCACAATAAAGTTCTTGTTCATCTGCATGATAAGCTTTAACTAGTTTTATTTCATACAAATGCGGGAACATGCGAATAATTTCCATGATCCCTTCAAATTAGTATCATCGAGATTCTACTGTACTTCGTTAGTGCTGCAGATAAAAAACTTAATAAAATGTTTCCCAGTGTTTTCCTCGTTTCCATTCGATGATTTGACACACTAACTAGTAAGCTTTTTGTTGTATTAAACAAGTACCTCTAAAATTGGTCGTCACTCCCATTTACTTTGTACTAACATCAATGCCCAGAACGGCTAGTTTTAAAGCTGTGCACTTGACTGCCAAACTATATTTTTCAATATACCTTAATTTTAGCACAATGTGCATGGTAAGTACAAAAACAGCTGTATAACAGAAAGCTTTATCACACTTCTGATGGCCAAGCTTAGGCATTATTTGTTTTCATGACTAAAGGTTCCTTTTATGCCTCTGAAGCCTAAGACTCCTGGCATAAACTGCATGTACAACATTCTTACTTCAAACTTCCCAGTATTACTATTGAGGATATGACAGAGAAGAACACAACGGGACAGGCAATGTCCTTTCAGGCCTTTGAAGGGGCCATGTCATTCAATTTTCGGTCCTAATATGTGTCACATAGGTTAATCCTTGAGTGTTCACAAATGCGCAGGCAATATTTCAGTGCATTTGGTCAAGAACTCAATTTATAACGAGCATTTTTATAAATGTGTGAGTCACCTCAGAGTCTGACAACACTGGTGCACTAGCGAGCCGTGACGTAATAAGCAGCTTGCTTTGCGAGCGTCTGTATTCCAGCTAACAATTTGGTTTTGTGGTCAGCAGTGAGTACAATGAAGCTACTGCAGCCTTCTTAAGTTTGGCATTGAAAAACAAACAACTTGCAGTGGCTGAAGCTTACATCGAAGATGACGGCTCCGCTTTATGATGCACATGATGTCTCGCATGCCATGGTAAAATGGCAGTCACTGGTGACGCGCGGCACTTATAGCTGGCAACATCCAGAGCTCATTTTGCACTCCAATATTCTTCTAGCCCCACCGTGGTGGTCTAGTGGCTAAAGTACCTGGCTGCTGACCCGCAGGTCCCGGGATCAAATCCCGGCTGGGGCGGCTGCATTTTCGATGGAAGTGAAAATGTTGTAGGCCCGTGTGCTGAAATTTGGGTGCACTTTAAAGGACTGTGGTTGAAATTTTTACAGCCCTCCACTACGGCGTCTTTCATAACTATATAGTGGTTTTGGGACATTAAACTCAACATATCTATCATCTAATATTCTTCTAGAGCTCATTTTTCAATCATACATATACAGACATAATAGAGCCTCCACTTTTATTTTTTTATGAAAACCACAATTTGGTGGGTGACCGTGTAATGGCATCTTAAGAAAAACGGGAAACCATAGTGTCAAACACTTTAATTCAATATTTGGCTTGTAAAGTTTTTTTGCATTACAGAACTTCGATATTACTTTAGCATAATCACGATGGCCAAGCACTTTTGCAAGTTCGCCAGCCTAGTGAACTTTCCCAACAATAAACGCACATTGGTTTGTGCAAAGATCTGTTGAAAATCTTTATGTTACCAAAACAGGCAAATTCAAATTAATTCTTAAGGTTGAGTGGCTGGACTAACTACTAGAAAGTGCTGGGTGCACAAGAAACAAATTTAACATGCCAAAATCGACAAACCAAAAGCTTTGGTCACCGGCGATCGATCTGAATAGGCGTAGTAACAAAAGAGTTAAACAAACCAAGCTGGAGTCTGCACCTGTCCTGTTATGCACTTCTCTGTCCTGTACCCACAAAAAGTAGCACTATTTTAAGAAAGAATATGCCACGAACTTGCCCAGCAACATGTTTTGTTAAGCAAATATTTAACGAGTCTGCACATTTTTTTTCGCATTACATTGCATTTTTGTGGGTGCACTGAAATGGCTCGGAATAACTTGTGTTCATGTTTAGAGTTTCATGGCTACAAGAAAAAATTTCCTTTTGAAAACGCCGTAGGACAAAAGTTTTTCAAAAGAGAAAGTCATTTGAATGATGCAATGACAAAATATAAGACCATGCCAAGTCAATCATTTTAAATATTCGCCTTAAACAATCCATAATATGCCGGAGCTTTTGTCAACACAAAGAACTAGTGCATCCACATCAACTTGAAATAAAGATGCTCCTGCTGCTCTTGTCTACAGACTACAGAATGGCAATACACTGTTCCTACCTGCAGAAGTCGGGATTGTAAACTTCAATGAACTTCTCTCCAGGTTTCAGAGGAGGCACGAGCTCGCCATCTTAATATAAAAAAAAAATTGTCATTGTTTTTTGAGCACAGTGTCACTGCAAACTTGACAACATACTACAAGATTTTTGTTTCTTCTTGATGCTGTAATTACCAGGTGAGGGAAATAAGAAAAACAGAGGGGCACAAATGTGAATTGAGTTGGTAGTACTCACTTGTGCCATTTATCATGTTGCATGTCCCATTCCACCAGGTAAGGTTTCTGCATTAGAGTAAGTCACAGTTGTAAGTTAAAAAATTCAGGATGCATTGTGCTAGTAAGCACCGCAGATAACTGGGGTGTCTCAAGCACAGGACAGTGTTCTCAATCTGTACTTGCCAAGTTGTGTTGTGACTGTTGGTGAACTGTTGTAGTTTTGACTGTTAGGATAGTTTAGCACTTAAGTTATTCTAAAGTTTACATTTATCCAAGGCCGACAAGCTTAAACCGTAGTACAGTAAAACCTCGTTATTTCGAAGTCACTGGGGCCGCGAGAAATCTTCAAATTAGGCGGGTTTTCTAATCAACAGAACATTCAAAAAGTGGGATGCTAGGAGCTTAGAACTATTCAAAGTAATCAGTGCTCGTCGTTTGCTGTGCCGGCTAGCTAGCGGCTCCAAGGGCTATGTTTTCCAGCAATACCTGGTCATAATTTTGCCGCAAACACGGGGTAATGGTGGGCCTCGCTGCTGTTACTGAAAAAAAAAAAAAAAAAAACTGCTGTTGTGATCAACTGAAATGCGCGCCTGCGGAAAACAAGACATTTTCACTGCAGCACAGTAGTGACACGCGGGCAGCATGTCGCCTGCACCTTGCTGCGTCAGCACGTCACGATGTGAACATTTGCACATTCTTTCTGGTATAATTAGGAATTCAATAATGGCCAGTATTATGAAGGCCGCGATGTGTACTGGCTGAGAAAAATAATCTCTGAAAATTTTGAACTAAGTTTGCGAAGCAGGTCTTTGCTGGCACAAACTCCGCCAGCAGTGCAAAGGTGCGAATCGCTGGAGAAACCGGCAATCGGAGGTTCGCATACATCGTGAATTCCGCCAAACTGTCTTTTATTAATTATTGTACGATCCTAGAAAGAATGAGTGAACTATGACCCGCAGACGTTGCTAGAAACATGAAATATGCTGCCCGCGCGTCTCTGCTGTGTTGCAGTGAAGCACATCCAGTTTTCCACAGGCACACGTTTTGGTTGACCACAAGACCGTTTTCTTTTCTTTTTGCGCTGTAGTAGCGAGGCTGGGGTGCTTCAGCTACCACTCATCACTATCGCTACGCTGCATTGTTTTGTGGCTATTAAGGGCCGTCGTTTCGGCGGATTAGCGGCTAAACCCGAATCTGAAACTGCCACATTGCATCCAAAATTTTCAAATTAACCGGACTGGTGCCGGCCACCGCTTCAAATTATCCACTCAAACTTACATTGCAAAATACGGGACCGCAAAAATCCTTCGAATTAAGCAAGATTTCGATATAATCGAGTTTTAATTAACGAGGTTTTATTGTATTTGTAACTTTTGAACTGCAACTGTAAAATTGTTCCTTAAAGGTGGTGACCTACCTAAAGATAGTTAAAGGGGAAACCAGCCTTTAAAAATTAAGAAAAATACACTCCATTTTTGAGAAACCGTGTGTTTGGGCTGTATGTATTATAAACTACCTTTTCTATAATTACGAATGCCTAATGCATCATAAAAATATGTGAAATCGTGTAACAACGAGTAGTAGCAGCTGCTTCTATGCCAGCTAAACAAGAGCCGAAACAAGTCCAACTTCAAGCGTGTGCCATTCACATGCAGTCTAGGTCTTGTTTTGCTCGTGAATTCCTCCACGTTTTCAGTGCAGAGCATTTCAGGGAGCCGGGCTGTCGTATTCTGTAGTCATTGCTTTGCCTAAAGCTCTGTGTGCTGCATAGTCAGAACGCGCTCGTGCTTTCAAAGAGTGCCTCAATAATGATAAGTGCATCATCAGTGCACTAAACTAGTTCATTTGGCATAACGCAGGCCGCACCGCAGATAAGAACAAAAAAAAAGAGGGCGCAACTGCAATACAACGAGAAAGCAGGAAGAAAAAATAGAAAGAGCAAGCAAGAGAAAGATGTACATAGACAGAGGAAGAAATAAATTGAAATGAAGAGAAAAATACAAAGACAGAAAAAGAAGAAAAGGGAGGAGGAAATAAGAGAAACAAAAAGTCTTCCTCCCCAGCTCTGCGCTTTGGGTTTGGCACTCCTAGTGCGAAGCTGCCTTAATTGTTTTCTTACCGCCTAGGCGGTAGTGGTGGTGGCACGGCAGAAACATGATTCACTCATGACTGGGGGGCTTGCAAGGGTTTTCGAGTTTCCTTTGTCTCAACGTGAGCTGTGACTGGACATAGTGTAGACTAACTCAAGGGAGTGGAGAAATGGGCGGGTGCCATGGCTGCTTTGTGCAATGATAATGACACCTGCTCCACGATTAGCGCTAGCGCTAGCTTTATTGTTTGCTGCAGCTGTGCAGCCAGGCTTTGTGTGTACTTTGTGTGTACCGCTTCACATTCCGTTTTTGTTTGTGGCACTTTATAAAGTCTGCACAATGTTTCGCAGTGTTTTGTGCCTGCAATCGATGTGTTGTCGGACACACCGGTAGCCATCCAACATGCCAACAACGATTATGACTGCCTTTTTCTCAATGACGCAGCCGCTTTATTGGTAAAAATAATTGCATTGACTGTGTAGGTGCTTCTATCTACAGTGTGCACCAGCAGGACATGAATGGATTCTTGATATGCCCTTGGCGTCTTGAATCAACCTCAGCAATACCAGACTCATACGAAAAAAAAAAGGGGAAAGGTGGCAAAGATTATAAGGCAATAAAAACGCATTTAACCTGCAAGGTCATTATAGACCAAGATATATTGATCGAAACTTTCCAAGCAATTATCTTGAATTACATTTTTGAATGGTGAGGCTCCTTAGTCGAGAGAGAGCTCTCAAACCATTCATCCGAGTTCTATCAGGTTTATTTTTTCAATACATTGTACTTGTAATTTGTAATAATTAAAAGTCTATTGATGAAAGCCTGATGAGCAACACTACATTTAGCGCTCATGTAAAATTTTTTAGCAAGAAAACTGAAAAAAAGGGCTTTGTTTTGCCCTGAGGTACCTGTCCAAAAAACTTCGTAATAGATTTCCCAGTACTAGAACATTCTCCAATTTCTCCAGACCCTGACTAAGGGATCGATGTGGACTGCTGACACATTGCTATAACTTTAGAACCACTAACACAACTGCATAAAACCATGGTTATTCAAATGGCTTTACTATCGGTCAATCCTGAAAATTTCATTAAGATGTCTCAACAACAAAAAAGTTTATTTTTGAAGGTAGCCTTGAGACAGCATTCGAGACAATAATTATAAAAGTTAAATTAATTTTTCATCGTGTTAGGCAGTTATGTTACATGGGAAAATAGTAGGCTTGTGCGAATATTTTAATGCTTCAAATATTCGAATAAATAATGCAGTGTTCGAGTTAACTTCAAATCAAACTTAAATTATTGAAAATTTTGAATTATTCAAAAAGGACGAATAAATGCATATATAATCTGCTAGAGACACCCTGTAAAAATGATTTCACTGTGGTGAAACAGTGATAAGCCAAGAAAGCACCTATTTAAAAAAATCTGCGCTGCCACGAAGCTCAATTTTAAAGTTAACTTGATACATTTTTTTAGGTTAAAAAGCTTCTTATACTGACATATGCTTTAAGTATAGAAAATTTTAAAAAGTAACATACTTTACAGGCTATCACTTGCATTCTACCGAAAGTCAAATTCTCTCACTATTTTAATGCTGTTTCCACTATCTTTGATGCAAAAAAAAATGCATTTGCACAGGCCTTGTTTCAATTTTTTTAACATTGTGCAGTTTGTTAGTGCACGGCAAAACGAGAGAGAGAGGGGGTCAGTATCCACCCCGCAACTGCTTTGGAGACGCCGCTGCTACGTAGCTCCGCAGTCACCCCTGAGGAAGGAACCAAGTCTGTTTCGAAACATCGGGTTTCTTCAAAACTTTTCAATTCCCAGTTTCATACCCAACCAGGCAGACTTCTGTCGAATGTTTACATTCAAGGTTAGTTATGAAATTACAGATATGCCCTTTTTTTGTACTATGCAATATATATACTACTTGAATTCGATTCAAAATTATTTAACCACAATCACTATTCGCTTCAAGCAAAAAAATCTATTATTCACACAAGCCTGCAGAAAAGAAATTTATGTAAGGAACCACTCACAGCTTTCATGTAACAAAAGCGGCGTATAGTAATTAATGCAGAATAATGAAGTTCAAATTCAATGTGAAACCAAAGCACCGATGAGTGCAACAAGCAGATGACCAGAATGGCATTACTGTACAACATAACGGTCACAGAGGTGTCGTTCTTTCGTGTTCATTAACATATGTAAGCCATCCATGTTGTAACTGCAAGCACAGCCTGCACACTCACACAGCGAAGTGAGTTGACGATAGGTGTAACGATGGTCACTCATTCAGAACTCATCAGAAATTTATGGCAGTTGCACTCTTCCGTGTTCCGGTTTCGCCACTGAACTTGTTTGAATTTCACGACAGCTGAGCTAATTTAAAAGAGACACTGATGTAAGAGACGAATGGGTATAAAAGACATCAAGTTGGTGGGAGTACGTTACCACCGCGGGCTTGCCTCCTCTTTGAACAGGGCTGTACGTTGTCCTTTCAGTGCCTTTAACCTTCTGAAGAAGGATTTTTGAGACTGCCACTACGAAGTTTAGCGCCTAATATTTCTGCTCCTCCCACTGCTTTTCTTTTATTTGTGTTTTTCCAAGTTTGCGCTACTATGTAACCCCTTTTCCTCAAGCTCTCCTCCTCTTTCAACTTCTGCGGAAACCCACCTGGCGTGCCGAACAATGACGTGTTCCTTTGGAGTCCGGAGTTCCAAATCTGCCTTGTACGCATCAATATATAAGAGCATTTGAAACTTTGAATGCTAAAATCTGCAGCGTCCGATGTCTTCAACTTCTTACCCAAATCTCAGGTCCAAAACAGCATTAAACGAGCCCCCCCCCCCCCCATCTCTGACACATCTATCATCTGCATGTTGGAACCAGCGTCGAGTCGATCCATTTCAAACCAAGACAGAGTTTGAAAGACAGCTTTGACGCAATGCGAGAGTGTAACAGGGTGAAGCAAACTAAAAAATCTGAAGGGGCCACTGCCAATCTGACGTTGAATGTATTAGTCTTTGAAAAGGTCCAATAGTAAATTTGCAGAGCGAATCGAATCAAATAGCAAAACTGAAAAAATATATTTGAAATTGTGAATATTTGCACAACCCTATAAATTAGCAGAGACCCCTCATGTAAAATACAATTATTACTCCTCAGTGCTTGTCTCTCATAAAGTGGTTCAACTGTGCTTTGCAATCATTACTTGACACCACTTTTTTGCAAATCTCAAAGCTGCACTGGGTTCTTTGCAGGAAGCACTTTGATTTTACTATTTGACATAACTGCCTAACTCTGCTAATGAAAAATTAATCAACTTTCTTATCTACTGTCTCAAATGATGTCTTAAGTCATCTCAAGATGCCTGCGGCTACAAAAGAAGTAATTATGAAAGCATCAGCCAAGCATAGAATTTCCCCGATTTTTTAGGATTTCGGACACGTTTCTTAAAACATGCTGTATTACTGCCCAAGTACATTCAGTAAATATTAATCAAGTGCAGAGGCGACTTTTCTGTCTGCTAAAAATTGTTTTGTGGGCACGTGGTGTGAGGGTTTGCACTTGCCCTCACCCTTTCTGAAACGTAATTCAGTCATACGGCAAAGATACACAAAAAAGATTGCCACTCACACACGCTGGCTAAAGATCTGGCCAACTGTGTAATACCCCCCTATGTAATACCCTCCCCCCTATGTAATACCCTCTTCTAGAGGGCCTTTAGGGGTAACCTGAATAAATAAACTGTACATGTGCATACTCTTGCACAACCAACTGTACAACCTAGAGTCAGCATTTTCAGCAAACGTTCCAGAAAATTAGAATGTCCTTGTCAAAAACGAATTGTTTATCAGTTTCAAAAATGAATGTGAATGGATAACTTACTGCAGGCCATTCCAACGAGTGATAACATTGTATTTGTCCATTTCCCCTTTGCCTGTGTGCACAGTGAAAAGGCCATCATTGGAACCATTACGCTGAAAGAAAACATAACAAGAAAGCGCACTGATAATTTTGTTCATAAGTGGCTAAAATAAAATACTCAGATCTTTTCCAATATATTCTTAAATTTGTCCCCACACCAACCAAACAGACCACATTCACAATGCTGGTACATAAAACATTGGTTAAAATCGTGAGAAACACACACACACACACACAAAAAAAAGAAAATGAAGCTCTTTAGAAAACTCGACTTGCTGTGCAAGCTGAAGGAAAATGAGAAGGGAGACAAGAAAGAGCGAATGGTCCAGGAGAATTCCATTCTCGTATCCAGAAATCTGTTTTTGGGGTGTTTCTGTCTTGTTTAACTGGAAACTTCTTAGTGGGGCTGGATCTTCATGCAACAGAAACAAAACCTCCTAGAGATTGCCACAAAATCTGATAGTGTTAAAACATCTCTTTTGTTTTACATGTTATATGTTGTGAGATAATTGTACTTACTAAAGTGCGAACATAAGCCAACACTATTTGGGCCCACTTAAAGGGTAGTAGCTTACGGGAATAAAACAAGCAAATAAATACATCGAACACTAGCTCAAGGTGTGAACAGGCGTGCCGAGTCGGCTTGCAGCAAGGACTGCAAGAAGTTTACTTCTTAACACAATAATTGTTGTATTAAGTATTAAGTATTAAGGCATTTTATTTGAAAAATTAAACCATTATGGCATTCGCGGGCTCCCACTCATGTTACTTAAAAGCTATCTGGCGCATAGATGTCAATTTGTTTCGATAAATGATTTAGTATCAGATAAGAAAAATATAATTTCAGGGGTACCACAAGGGAGCATTCTTGGCCCTTTATTATTCACTTTATATATTAATGACATAGTCCATATCTCCCCAGAAGTTAAGTTTATTATCTATGCAGATGACACGAGTATATTTGTCACCTCATCATCAGATGTTATTCTTTCTAATAAAGCTAATGACGTCTTACAGAAGTTAGACAACTGGACAAGTAACAATAAGTTAAAAATAAATGCAACTAAAACAAAAGCGGTAGTTTTTCATTCGAAAGGTCAACAAGTGACTTTGAAGAATAATATTGTATTTAGAGGCTCAGATATAGAAATAGTGAAGTCAGTGAAAGTACTTGGGGTACATTTCTCCAGTTCTTTGCAATGGGATGACCACGTAAATAATATTCAAATAAAATTAGGCCGGATAACTGGAATACTCAGCCGTATCCGGTACCTCATCCCCAATTCGGTGAAGTTATTGATATACAAATCGCTGTTTAGTTCTTATCTTAACTATTGCTATTTGGTTTGGGGAACAACTACAGAAACAAACTTAACAAAATTACTGAGAATACAGAAGAAAATACTGAGGCTGATAGACAACGCTACAGCTCTAGCACCTAGTGACCCACTGTTTAAAAAATATAAGATAATCAAAGTGAATGACCTATATCAATACAGACTACTACGAGAGTACTGCCTTAGCTGCAAACGCGCAAACTTTTTGTTTACGGAAATGGCGAATCTTTGCTTAAAGGAAAAGGCGTATGTAACAAGAAATACAGAAATGTGGAACGTTCCGTACTTTCGCACTAATTATGGTTTTCAGATGCTTCGATGTACTCTACCGCGAATTCTGAATACTTATATTAGCAAAGGTATAGATGTGTCTCATTTAAGTGTCGCAGAATTAGCGGCTCTTTTTGTTCTATAAACTATGTAGCAAACTATGTTATATGTTCCATAAACTATGTATTTATTCAGGTGCAGAAGATTGCTGCAAGTTTCTTTGTTGTGTAAGCTATGTATCAACTACGTTTTCAGGTTTTCCTTCCTTTGTGGCATGATCTTTACGTAAAACAATGTGAAAGTGTATGATATTGTGATGTCCTTCATCTGCTGCCATTGTTCACAAAGGGGGCGGAGGATCCCTCAAGCCGTCATTACGGCTTTTCCCTCCGCCTCCTGTTACACTGTACTGTGACGAAGCAAATAAAGCAATCAATCAAGTAGAGTAAACCCTCTACTTGACACAACAATTGTTGCATTATGTTTCAGTAAACCCCTTAAAATCTTGAATTCATTCATACTTTGCAACATTTTTGCATTTCAGCAATGACTCAGTTCCTGTGTCATAAATTGCCGCAGTATTAGGATACATCACAGCCAGTTACTAGTAATTCATTCAAAGAAGCATTTAACTTTCACTGCCCTAACACTGACACTTGCGAATTCGTACAGTTTCCGCTAGGAGTGATCACTTAGACGCACAAGAGTAGCATCTTGCGAAACAATATGCCCCACTTGGCAATGCCGACGGGCAAACCCTTTTGAAAGACGAATTCTCGCATATGTGCACTGAGCGAACAAGAGTTTAGTGATATACCGGATGGCACGGTTGATCAGTCAAAATGCCCAAATCACCAAGATATAGATCAAATAATGAGTGTTTTATGTTCATGTATCCAAGTGCTAGCTGTTGCTCAAATTTAGATGGCAGCAAGCATTCAACCATGCATGCAAAAACAAGTAATGTTACTGATCCTAACAATCCTGCCGGTTACTAACCAACATCATCCAGCCAAACTTCCCACCAGTAGGCGGCAAGGTTGGGTCAATCTTCTGGCTGGCCATGACGAGCAAATCCTTGTAGCCATCAAACAGGAGTTCACCCACCGTGTGTTGTGAAATCGGCTTCTCTTTAAGTAGGTTAATAAAAACTGCAATTGCTCTGCGTTTTACACGGTTCGGTATTTTATCCACAAGGACACCTGCGGCCTGGAAGAAGAAAAAAAATTAAGCCAATTTACGAACGAGCAAACCAATTTAGAACGAGCGAAGCCTGCCTTTCGCACAAAAAAATTGCAACAGCAACACACTGAAAAGCACTGTTTCATAGAACAAAGCCTATTTCAGCTGCTATACAATCAACACTGACAAAGCTCATAAAAATGTTAGTAAAAGGCCGCAGTTGTACGCATCTAAGTAGACACTCCATCCCTGTGTGGTAAAAACACAGCCTTAAATGAGCACAATATACATAGAGGACAAATTCATTTTTATGTGGGGAAAGGAGTTTAATCTCAAGAGTCAGGACTGAGCAAGAAGTTTTCAGATGTCTGTAAAACTTTCTGAACTCAATCTTTCCTTCCTATAGGAAACGTAAAAAATGAGATTGGGCCAAACCTATAATTGTTTGCTACCTCAACACTTTCCCACTTTATGAAAGACAGCTGCAAGAATCCCATGCAAATGGCTGAAAAAATGAACATGCAGTTGTCACCTCTTCCTTTACGATGAGGTGCTAGCAATTTGTAGCAACACAGTTCATGGTTAACAGCACAAAACTATGCCGACAAAGATAAAAGCCCATTATGAAAGTGAATATACAAACTGTTATAAAATCTGAAGAACAATGACAAATTCGATTAAGATGCGCATGTGGCGAGCTCACTATTATTAACCAAAATGAACCACTCATCAACGAGAGTGACAGAAGCCAGAGAGACACACAACCATTAATGCCATTCGGCCTTGAGGGCATTATAAATAAACAGTGCTTGCTTTCTAATATAAAAGGTCCCGGCAATTTCCCAGGTGCACTGCTTTGTGTGGCTCATCAGAATCGCAATTACGATTGATTGATATGTGGTGTTTAACGTCCCAAAACCACCATTTGATTATGAGAGACGCCGTAGTGGAGGGCTCCGGAAATTTTGACCACCTGGCGTTCTTTAATGAGCACCCAAATCTGAGCACATGGGCCTACAACATTTCCGACTCCATCGGAAATGCAGCCGCCGCAGCAGAGATTCGAGCCTGCGACCTGCGGGTCAGCAGCCGAGTACCACCGTGGCGGGGCAGAATCGCAATTAGGGGAAAACAAAAGGGGTGAACTCTCCTAAGGGCACACTCTGCTCTAACTTATACCTTCAAAGCTGTGGTTGCTTCATTGCTGAGGTTGGTTACCTGTTTTTCTTAACGTGTTTATTCGGATGAGTCATCCAGGACAGCACACCAGTGATACCATCGAGGCCCTTGACCTTCGAAAGCATGAGCAGTTTGAAAGCTTGTTTTTCATAATAATAATAATAGATACCCAAGATTACCACTTCCACATACTGCCTAAACTCGTCATACTCATTTATATTTGTAACACCAGGTATATAATATTCACTTGCTTTCCAGTAAACATTCAGTGAAAGACAGCACCGGATGTCTGTCCTGTTCCTCATTTGCACCCTTTTGCGCTTTTAACCCTAAACATCGTCTAATTTTCTTTCTCAACTAGACAGACAGATTATGATAGGTTAACATGAGTGAGTAACTGTGACAGTGCTCACAAATGCAAAAGAAATCTGGGCAGTTCACACTAAAGGTGCAAATCTTAGTCATAGTGGAGCTCATGGTATCTTGGCTAGCTCCTGTTTAGCTCAATCTTAATGAGCCTTAATTAAAATAATTAGGTAACATGAAACAAAAGTATCTTAGGTGGACTTGGTTTGATTGCAAGTATATTTGTTTTCATTAGGCTTAGCCTCAATTGTCACTATTCAGGTTAAAATTGTTGGACTCGATCGGTCGTAATTACAGTCGAATCCCGCTGTTATGTATATCGCTACAACAAAATTTCTGCCAAAATGTATAGTTCTCGCTTCCCCTTCATCTGCCCATTAAAAACAATGCGAAAAATGCATTCTCACAATGAATACTTGTTCTGGGTACTTCTGCTTCAACGAAGTTTTCGTGAGTGCTACCACAAAAGGAAAAGAAGCTTGCCTAGGACAGCCGCGAAATGCTGCAGAGAACTTGACAATTTCTCGTTGCCACAGCTGCTCAGCTGTATCACAAGCTCGTCTTTGTTGGAGGCATATTTCCTGTCACTACACAAACATCCTGGTCAATGTTTTGCTATTGAGGTTCTTAGCAGCAGATCGTCCATCCACTGTGATGCTGCCAGTTGGTTTGATGCGTGTTCGGTCTGCGGCAGAATTCAAGAACTCCCGGCATGTTTTTGAGGTAGTGCTACAGTACAAGCAACTACTTTTTCTTGTTGCTAGCCCTGCGATCGTGACTGGCAACCAAGGCGTTATGAATTCATTTTTAGGGGCGAAACTCCTTAGGGCGTGGGCTGTGCGTCCACTGTAGCCTGTATGTAGCCACCTCTAGTTTAGTTCTTGCAGTGTTCACTAGATGGCGGTACCGTCCCCTGTATGTAGCCACCTCTAGTTTAGTTCTTGCAGTGTTCACTAGATGGCGGTACCGTCTCCTGTATGTAGCCACCTCTCGTTTAGTTCTTGTAGTGTTTACTAGATGGTGGTACTTGTAGCTGATGATGAAAAGATGCAAGATGTTATAAACTAGAAAGCGGTACTTGTAGTTGATGAAAGACGCGAGATCTTATAAAATAGGAATGATGTCACATATGGCACGTGTCATTGGTTGAAGGCAATCGTTCGATTTAGTGCGGCGACGTACGCTAGGGGGAGCGTTGTAATAAAATCCGTTCGCTGTTGGCGCCCGCTCGGAGAGCCGGATCGATAAGGCTGCACAGCGGAGAGAGCGCAAGGCGGCAGCAGCGCGCGCTCGCAGACAGAATCCCGATGTGCGAGCTTCGCCCATTCATCATCATTCACCCCGTGAATATGCCGTAATTTTTTCCTTTTATCATTCGCAAATGAAATAATTTGTATGCGTGTGTTGTTGATCTTCCATCTGATGCTTTTTGTTCGTCACTACAAGATGTGTGCTTTTTGTGAATGCGCAGGAGCTGCTGCACAAATGTATGCTATTTTTGACGGCGCCAACGTGCGCTTTGTTCGACTGTAAGACTGCTTTTTTTCCCTTCACCCCCCTACAATAATGCCCACTTGGGCGATGTAGGTTGCACTTATAAATAAATAAATACCAAAAATGTAGCTCTGAAGACGCACGCACTGCCAGAGCACACAGATTGAAAACAACACTACCATTTGCAGTAACCGCTAAGCAGGAAACCACAGTCGCTATAGCCATAATCATCTATAACGAATAAGCTCCGATTGCGAGCGGTTAGCAAAGGCACTAACATCGTAAACAGCCCGAAGTGTTTCGGCTTTCCTGTCACTCGCCTATGACTGACAGTGCGAACATTTGGCACTTAGGCCTCTAGTAAAGTTTTGGCAAGCTTTGAGAGTAGTCTAAATCTCATATTTCAATTTCGTTGAAGCAGAATCCGGCTGCGGTATCTTGTCGAGCTTGGCATCACTAGCCTCACTGAAAGTTTGACTGATTACCCACATTTTGTGGCGCATACGGGTTCCTGATGATGACAGTTTTTTGGCGACACAAGCCGGCATTGCAAAAAGCTTAACAGCAGCACTTCAATAAAAAAAATTTACTCCTTAAGAAAAGAACAAGTCTTGCATGATCACTTAAGTTTGAGATTGGTCTTGTACAACCCAAAACAAGAGGTAACGCTGCAAGTGTCTCCACACTTCTATGCTTGATCATCAGCCTGTATGCTTTTCAAGTATGCGACTTCAACGTACCACAAGAGGAGCATTAATAGTTGTGATCTGGTCCGCTTCAGTACCAACAGATTCATTTCTGTCAAAAAAGTATGTCTTGACTTCTCTGTATGAAATGGTGCCATTGGAATTCCAGGTGATGTTCTTCTTCACCCAAGTCACCCTGCAAGCATTGTTAAAACCATTCAAAACTGCAGTTCATCAATCAACTCTATGATGGAAGAAAAGCTCTAGCTTGAAACTCATTCTCAAGTATAACGTAATCCAAATTGTGCCGACCAATGAAGCCCTTTTGATATATGATGCAAGTCTGCCAAAGTGATGTTATAGCAGAATGATTGATAAGATATGTGGAGTTTAACATCCCAAAACCACCATATTATTATAAGAGACACCGTAGTAGAGGGCTCCAAAAATTTCGACCACCTGGGGTTGATGTTCAAGCAGAAAAATACCACAAAGAAGCAACACACACACATGACAACAAATTGCTACACGACGGAAATAGCCACATCAATACTGTCTGTAAATGAATGTAAACAGATTCCCCAGAATGAGCATTAATTTTGGAAAGTTCTCTGGGAGAAAATAACCATTGGGTTCATTTCTATTGAGCAAAGCACAAAAAGAGAGCTAAAATTTATTGTGGCAATGCAATAACACACAGTGAAATGCTGGCTACAATGACCTACAGCATGGTGAATATTTTTCTTTTTGATCTAAAGTCCAGAGATAACTGAAAAAACGATTCTAAGCCACAGAAGTGAAGTAGTTCTGCAATCTACGTTGCTTGAGTAATTTACTCTAATTTAAAGGGGCCCTGCAATACTTATTGAAGAAAAACGAAATTAGTTTATTAAAGGTATTTTTGGCTAACAAATTAAGTGTTGCCAATTTATTTTGGAGTCTGTCAAGTACGAGTGAAGTGATAGATTTGTCGCTTGCTTTAAACGCTGTCTCTCCCTTTTTGTGCCAGAGGGGATGGCAAGCAGGAATGATACTTGATCCATTCATCAATGCCAATCATGATCATGAGCATGCCTTTTTTTCTTTAGAGCGCAGCACTCACTTTAGGTATGATAAATACATTCGAGGAGAACTTTCTGTGGCAATGAGGAAAAGCTGCAAAGGCGAAGCTACACCTCCTGTACTCCTCCGCGAAGTAGTCCAATTTGGCTCGCGTTTGGGATGACAGCAGTGTTCAACTAATCCCATTGCACAAAGTTTGATACGTCTGCTTACACAGCCATTTCCGAGTGGAATTCAACACAAGCTCCTTCGGGAAATCGTTGGAATAGCCGGAGCGCGAGGCATGCTCACCTAAAGACAAAGACGGTATTTTGACGGTGGGGTGCACGTAAAACGTGCGACGTTGTCCGACACGCAAAAACGCATAAACTCTTCAAAAAGCGACAACAAATATGAATATCTCCTTGGTGCTTGCAGCGTCTCTTTATAAACAGCATCCAGTAGAAAATAATGTTATTTTTTATTATTTTCACACAAGAAACACGGAAGAATTCGTGGCACCATATTCTACAGCAGTGGCACACGCCCACTTTGGCTCCGTAGCCTTCCCTTCATTGCCACAGACAGTTGTCCCCGAGTATAACATGCACGCAGGCATATGCGACATTCGACAGAGTAACTATGCAGCTCGTGATGCTTAAGTCGGCCAGTGACTATGGACTGAATTTAAACTCAAATCTCATTACAACAAAATCGCAACCTACAAAAAAATTCATTATATCAAAAAAATTTGTTATAAAGGTGTATTCCTAACAAAGTCAATTGCAAAGCTATTCTCAAATTACTTAGTAATAAGATATATTTTGTTATACCAGAGTTCACTATATCAATGTCTGAGTGTATAACGTGATCATCATTTGTATCATGGTATCATTTGTCAGGAGGACACTGAGTGATTTCCAGCAAACTGAAAATTATTTTCATTTTCAGGCCACATACTGCGCTATATTGTTAGGCTCGCAAGTTCTCAGCAGCCTCAACTACCAATCAGCAAAATTTTTTGACCATGCTCTAAATCTGTTGCAGGGCCCATCAATTAAACATTCTGTGTCTACTAACTTATGACCAAATAGTTTAAGCAGTGAGTAAGCAATAGCCATAGAAAATAAAAGAATATGCACCTCGACTGCTGTGCAAGAAAAAGGACAGTTACCTGTAAGAATAGGGTCCAACCTCCTCAAACTTTGCCTTCTCTTCTTTTGCAAGAAACTGCTTTGGATTGGTCAAGTTAAAGAAGTAGAACTTCCTGTAAATGGGTAGAGGGATGTCTTGCCACAGATGAAATACATTTGAGTTATTAACCAAAGGAAGTTTCTGAAAAAAAAAAAAAAAGCCAGCTAATGTTATATCGGTGCCCCGATATTTTATTACACAATAAAATGTAAGACAGTTATACAATTAGAATGTAAGCAGGCCCCTAATTTAACAATAACTACCTGTAACATAAAGCTTCTTTGGTAAAACCATTGAACAGCAAAAACAATAGTATATAAAGCCTAACGGAGAAAAAAACTTATGCTGGAACACCATTAGCATTTTATCTTATCACATACAGTTGTTATCACCATCAGCCTAACTACACCGACTGAAGGACAAAGGCCTCTCCCATGTTATGCCATTTAACCCGGTCGTGCAGTTCTTGCTGCCACGTTGTACCTGCCAACTTCTGAATCTCATCTTCACACCCAATAAAGCGGGGATTCAGAGCGCATTTTTGTTCAGGGTGGCGTTTCGAGCCGCCTTCACACCATGGACGAACTTGAAAATGATGCGAATTGTGGCTTTTACACTGATCTTTTGTAAAATAACTACTGGACTTGTGTATTGATCAAGAAGATTGAAGTGCATTGATACAGCATACATTTTTCTCATCTTATTCGCGTCTTCGATAATCAGGCATTTGGTTTATTTAGAAATTTGTTCCGTGGTCCCATGAAAGCTGTATTAATGAGCTCTAACTGTACGTGACAGAAAACTATCACATACTGTGAGAGCTAATTAATTCACGTTTCATGGGACCAGAAAAAAAGATTTCTGCAAGCGGGCTCACTCAAACTCACTCAAATTTCTCTCGTTCAGACCCACCTGACTCAAGTTCAAGAAAATATTACTCACTTGAAATCTCCGAGACTCATGGCTCTATCCGAACCAGAGTGGGTCTGAGGAAGTCCACTCACAAGTCCGTTAGCGTACTATTAGGTGCTTCATCCAAGGTGTTCATGCTATTTAACGCTGATATCTCGCATAATAGATGCTCTACCAGACACTTCTAATCATGTATTTTTTAATACTTGTTATCCGCGGTTGCAATTCATTAAGGACTTTTATATTGCAACCCATATATGTGTTGGACGAAATGTCTTTAACAAAACCTTCCTTTGAAAAAAAAAAAAAAAAAATGGGTGGAGGGTCAAGCCACCTCCACCCTCTCCTTTACAACTCAAGCGTTTGTTCATTTAATATTGAACTGGCGCATATGAACGCCGCTGCATTAGTGTATCAGAAAACATTATCATTATAAAGGTTAGCCAATATAAGGCTGCGTAATGCTGAAGAGCTGAGTAGGTAGGACGAGAGCTTGGCAAAACGGTGTGGAGCTCACTAAGACTCACTCGCGAAATAAGCGTTGCCTTTGGGCTCAGGCACACTCACCAATGTTTTCCTCAGCTGGACTCATTTGCACTCAAACTCACTAAACTCTTTTTCAATCGGGATGGCACTCGCTGATATATTACACACCCAGACTCACTCAAGACTCGGACACACGGCTCTACTCAATAACTACAAGTGACTCTACTCGTAAGCGAGTTTGCCGACCTATGGTCAGCAAATGCCAAGTGGAGTCTGCACGCTTCAGCTTCTCTCGTTAACGAACTGTACTCAGTGGTTTGGCAATGATTCCGTGCATGTCGGTCCATGATGAGCATAATCTTCTACATGTGACACACGACAATCCTCAACCAGAAAAGCTCTGCTGTAAAAAAAAAAAAAAACACACACGTTTTACCTCAGCTGCCGGAGCCTTGGTCGCCAACAACGCAATTGTCGATGGCAAGCATGTCTTTTTGATGGCCCACAGCCATTTCGATTGCACACAAGTGCCGTTTTCGCTCCTTTGTATCTACTATTCTCGGAGTGTGTAGAGCACTTTGCAGGCTCTGATAGTAGGCTCTGATAGTTACAGCCAAATATGGCCAAAATAATGGGAGTTTGATACTAAAACAATGCATATGCTATTATAGATAATAGAATTTACGGGAATTATTCTATTTCCCAAGTTAGCAATGGTTATATTAATGAGCCTTTACTAAAATACACACCCCTTTTTAAATGCTAAGGGCCAATTAAATTACATTTTACCTGAATGTGGTACAACCACTGGTAAGGTGCAGCTGCTTGATCACATGCAAGACAATTTGGGTTTTATATATTGCCCAACATGCACGCAGGCCAACTTGGTTCTGCTAATACAAACGATGAAGAAATTTTCATGTCTGTAACCATTGCATAGACAATTGAGGCTGGTGTGAAACTGCCCCCTGTGGGCAGTATCGAAGCTGCTGAGTGTAAGTCCTGTTCTAATAAGTAGTCCAGTTGTATTGGAAAATACAGCACATGACAGCAGGGGCTATCAGAAAGCTAAAGTGGACTGCTCAGCATAGCATAAAAAATCAATATAAAATATAGCTTTACAAAATTATGCCTTGTGCCAAGCAAGAAATAAAAGGGTCATTTGTTGCACAAGTATTGAGAAGACCCTTTAGGCTCTTTAATAGCATAAGCAAATGAGACTGTCTACAATGTAGAAAGCTAGAGTGAAGCCAGGTAGTACCAAGTTTCGTACAGAAAAAGATGTATTACTGCTTGATAAAAATGTTGCAAATACTAAAGAAATGTTTATTAGTTCATATATTTAAGAAATATAAAAAGCCTGGTGGTTTCTTTCAAACACAAGCCTGAAATACATCGCAAGGCTACTACAATGCAAAGAACACTTAAGCATATCCTGTGCCGATTGTTGGACAAACGGAACAAATTGGATGCACAGTACAGTGTCTCGACTATTAGTCTCATATGCGAGCATTTTAAGGCTGTCATTGAAACAGAACTTGAGTGACACAGTTGGCTCAGCAAGTGTAGCGATATATATTGTCAAAGAACTACCTCATCTAAAATGGTGTTGAACAACCTAGGCAGCAGGAGGACACCCCCACCACCAAGAATGGCTAGGAGAAATCCAACAACACCTAACACAACTGAAAAAGAAGGCAAAAAAAAGTGTATAGCAGCCTCTGCATGAATCTCTGGTGTTACACTAGTGTTGTGCTTCAAATTGCAAATCCTGAATGCTTTCATATCCTGAGCACTTACTACACAGTTGAAATTTATATGATTTCAATGCAATGAAATGTTGAGTAGCACCAAACATTGCATGCTTAGGCATTTCTATAAAGTTGCTACAGCACTCAAACATACACAAAATGCTGCCTACCACAAAGATCAAATCACCCTCCATTCAAAGTCAATTTCCCCCTCAGGAATGGAAATGAAAAGGAACAATAATTTGTTTGACCAGGCAACACTATATCTCAAGTTTAAGAAAAATGAGGTACTGTGATAGCAAAACTGGTTTAAATTCAGGAAACTATTGCAGAACCATGGTCTAAATGAAGAAGCCAAAGCACCCCAATTATTAAAGAAAAAAAAAAAAGCTCTAGCAATGTAGTTTCTACATAATTAAATTGTGGTGTGCCGAGTTCTAATGCCTACAATAGTAACGTGTGGAGCAGTAGAATAATGGATTAATTTTTTACTTCACAAGGTAAGTTGGCATACTCCTAAACCAAATTACAGCCGAAATTTATTTCAGCTAAAATTCAGCCCACAGCATTCCGCTTGGTGGCACAGTGCCACAGCTACTTGGAAACTATTATTAATCAGTATGGTTACACGTCCCAAAACCACATCATAATCATAAAGGACACTGTAGTGAAGGGTTCAAGAAATTTCAAGTGCCTATGGATCTTTGATATGCACCTATATCTAAGTACACGGGGCCTCTTTCATTTCTCCTCAATTAAAATTCAGCCACCGCAGCTTGGATCTGAAAAACCATTGCGGAGTATGTTTTCCTGGTGACAAAGCAGGCAAAATTCAGTGAAACTGATGAGAGGACAAATTACCGATTGTGCAACCAAGGAACGTTATGAAAAAGCATAATACATAAAAAGAAGAATAAGTTTCCGCATAGTTACCCATGCGGACCAAAGCCAGCTCACACAAGCCCCAGAATGCAAATGCATTCAAAGATGGAGACCAGCACTCACGCAACTGCATTTTGACAATGAACAATGAGGCCATAGGGCTATGTCAACACAGCAGTGGCCATATGCGAGTGCCTGCCACATCACGACACTGTCAGCAATGAGCATATCCTGTATACCTTCAAGTCATAAATTATGCAGGAAGTGCAGACGTCGGCACATGAGCCCTGCTATAGCTTGTTTACTTAGCCCCCGCCCATCCTTGCCACGTGTTGTCATCTCTCTGTAGTCTGGTTGTATCCACAGTGATCTTTCAGTAAATTGAACAGACACTAAGGAAGTGAAATGACTTAGTTGTAATGCCAATGCATTGCTCCAAATATTACAGCAGTGTTAGTAGACCCTAACAATTCCAATGTCCTAAAACATGTTACAGAGTGACAGTTTAATAGCTCTCAAAACCACCGATCAAACAATTATAATAATATCTGGAATTTTACATCCCAGAACCACGATACGATTGTTAGAAACGATGCAGTGGAAGGCTCCTGAAATTTTGACCATCTGTAATTTTTAACATGCTCTGACATAGCACAGAACACGGGCCTTAACCATTTCCCCTTGCGACTGCCCTGACAGAGATAAAAACCTTGACCTTCAGGACAGCAGCAGAGCACTGCAAACAGCGATACACCGTGGTGGACCACAGATAAAATAATTATGTTAAATGTGAATCCCTGAGAATGAATACAGCAGTGTAACAAGTTAGAAATACCTGTATTTCTGTGTTTAAGAAGAAGGATGTATGGCGCATGTGCCATTTTTTTTTTTATTTTGTGCTTTTCCACGCAGAAATGCGATAATACAGCACCAAAAGAAATTGAGCACTTATTTGACAAGCAAAATTACGATTCCTAACGAACCATTGCATGCTAGCCAACAGCAAATAAGTTTCTGTCACCACGAAAACGACAAAGAAAATAAAAATCTTAAACGCTAGGCAAATGTTGGGCGACGTCCAATAACATATCCTTCGCAGCACGCCATTTTCCTTGTCAGCCTTTATTAGCATGTGCGACTACACTGGAATCAATTTACATATGAAACTGAGAATGTACAAATAAAATATGAGCATAATGAGATAATCAGACAGATTACCGTCCTCCTTTTAATTAATGAGGTAATGCACGTGGTCTATTTGTGTACATCACCAGGGCTTTCTTTACCGATGACTACACAGAGGCCGCAAATGACAGTTAAATGACTTATACACAAGAGCACAAGATAACCACACACGATAATTTTATGCGGCGAATACAATGGGCGTACGGTAGATAAGCACGGAGACACACGTCATGACATCGTGCTCTGAACGAAGTTGGAATCATAGTAAAGACGTCTAGTTTTACCTGACAAACTTCGAACTTTTTAGATGATTTCAACGACATAACTTCCAATTACACAGTCTTGTGTGACTTCCCCCTAACACTCATTAACAAGTTTTGGAATCGGCTGCTTTCTTCCGTTCGAAGCATGCCCCGTTCGGTTCGCGTGAGATTGTGTACGGAAAGAACAAAGTACATTTCGTATGCGCCCGTTCTGAAGGTGCAAGTAATGTATGCGCGCGCCTCACATCAGCACCTGACTCACCGAGAAGACGACTCAAATCCATATTTTCTTCTCGAGTCGTCACACCCACATGATGTCCCAGTTAGCACTTCTTCGGAGAGCCTGAAAGCACAACGACAAACAAGCACGTTTTCACGAGGCTGCAACACAACCAGCAAGTTTGGCCTAGATGTCACGATATGCGTAAAATCAGGGTAATCAACGCGCGCACCCAGTCGCCAAATAAGCCGTCGAAAAACCTCCCGTTCGCTTTGTGGCGAATGCGACAGTTCGACAATTCGACATTGACAACAGCGAGCGACAAGTCGGCTCACGAATATTTTGCTTGCGCCGATGTGGTGTGTCTGCCTGCATGCGTCAACAAATGTGAGAGCGAAATTCAAAGCTGCGCAAAAAAACAGTTGCAGTGCCCCGCAGAGCGACAAACCTCGCGCACTCTGACAGCCGCAGGGGGTTGCGGTGTAACCGCCGCTGCCTCCACCACATTTCGCTTACCTTTCCTACACGCACGCGCGCCACAACAACGTCGAGAAATGTCGATGCGCCTCTGGGCGCAACCCTGCAGCTCTGCGCGACGCTAACAGTCGTGGTTGGCAAGTTGTATGCAAGTTGTGTATGGGCTGTCGCCTTTGACGTACCTTAGCCACAGACCATTTGCATCTGCCGTCTGCGTGTACCCACAGAACACCTGGTGTACCCAAGTCCCCAGCCCCCTTGACCGCCCAGTCATAGGTCCCTAGCAAAAGTCCCTAGTAACTTTCTGTGGCAGCACAGACAAAGCTACGTGGGCGGAGCTTGTTTTCTTGCGGTTTCGGTTTTGGTTTCGCAAGCGCATACAACATGTACGTTTTCGCACGAGCACCATGCAATAATTATTGCATTTATTTGGAAGGAAATAAAACAAAATGTTCACTTTTTAAGGAAAATAACACAAAACTTCATCGAAGCTTCATTGAAGCGGCCGGATTTATTTCAGAAAAAAAAAAAAGGCACAGCCAAGCAGAACATTTGGGAGATTGGAAAAACAACGCAAGATCAAGAAACTGTTTTTTTTTTTTAAATTTACATGCGTAGTTGGTCGGCGTCGTTGTTTACCTTCTTTTAGAGACGCAAGAGCTTTCTGGAGATGCTCACTTTATATTTTTAGGGGATGCGACCACAACCACGGGAAGCAGAAATCTTGGCACGGATCGGTCATGAGTGGGCGTATGTCCTTAAATCCAAGTGGGTGAAACGCAATAACACAATATTTACTCAGCCAATAACGCTGTTTTTTTTTGCACAGCCAACTGGGCAATATACATGAACGCGTTTGTTTTCCAGGCGAAAGTTTGCACTGGTAATTTTATCCTCGTAAATCACTGTCATCACGAAACAGGAAGAACCACTCCCTCAGTAGAAGCCAACAAGAATGGTGTTACTGTACACAATTTTCAGCGTTATCATATCAACAATATTAGGCAGCCGAAATACCGACCACGTATGCAACGCGATTTGGGAAAAGGGTCATTGCTTTTACGTACAGTTTTTAATCACACTTTTATATCCAATCAGCTGGTTACTGAAGACTGGCAGGTCTCCAGTGTCACTTTCAAGGTGGCTATAGCAATTAGAGCCCCACTTTGACTGATGGCATCACACGCACACAACTTCTTGGTCATTGCATGTGCAGGAAAGAAAATATTTCATCACACACCACTGTCTTCATTTCTGACTGCTCGATTAATACAGATCACCTAAGCAGCACGCACTCATAATGCTTACTCACAAGCTTCGATGTCAACTTGCTGTAACCGAGCAACGCCATCGTTGTTTACCGGATGAGGAAAAATGTAAAATGACACCAAAAAACTTGCGTGGAGGTGAGAGTCGAATTGTGGCGCTTTGGCGAGACTTATCCGTGGCTGTATTTTTGTAGTCTGGGACGTCTATGCAGGCACTGGTATAGTAGGAGAGTACAACTAGCTATCACCGTAAAGTACGCACTTGACGTACTAAGTTATAGGCAAACAGCATTAACCAATGGTGTGAATTAAAGGGTGTGGGGGGGCGGGGGGTCAGGTGGTTTGGACTACCCTTGTGCTCAGACTTGTGGGGACCTCCTTTGCAAATGTCTTCCTTGAAATTTCTCCTTCAAACATAATATATCTGAATGGTTGAATAGATAACTATAGATAGCGCCACTGACATCACTGAAGAATGTTGGTATATGTAAGTTTTAACGGAATATGTTAGAAACGGCTGCAAGTATTTCCATGAAATTTTACGAGCTCACACAAAAAAAATGGCAGTGGGTATCAAATGACACCCTTTTTTATGCCTAGGTTGCTTATCCTTCCTATGGCCCACTCCCAAATTTTAAAGGAAGTTTACTTATTCAATCTACCTTTTATCTGCTACTATACCGTAAAGAATGCAACCATACTCAGACATGTTGCAGAGACTCGTAGGTTACATCTGAACTAAAAAAGAAATATTACATTTTCCTTGAAGTTTGTAAAAAAATAAAATACTGCTTGCACAACGCCATGTATTGCTGTGTATTTTTTTTTTACAGCTTAGCTTTTTATGAATTCACCATTTTTTTTAGTTCAGATTGTTTCTAACTTTGTTGTACCTCACGCATACAAAGTTTCATCGAAAGTCAATTCAACACTTTTTGAGAAAAGGTACATTGAAGTTGAAAAATGTACAGAAAACGCAATTTGAGGAAAACGAAGATTTACGTGCGCATACTACTTACGCCAGAGGGCGCGCAGCGCACTTCGGCGCGGTATTTAAACCACCTGGAGCGGCTGCTCGACATCGGACTTCCACAAGCTTGTTTTTCAGAGTACAGTAGATTTTATGGTGTCCAAATTGCGAATTCAATGTTTTTTTAAGGTTTACCCTACCATACCCCGTAATATTTATGTCGTCACGTGTTACTATTTATTATCATTGCATGACACGAACTATTATGGCAAGTTACGCGTGCATCAGTAAGTAAAATTCGGGCCGCAGCGTTATCACATGAAGCAGGTTAGGCATGATAGGATTATGTTTTCTTTTCGGTATCAAGGCCACCATATTGGTGAACAAACACGTTATGGAGCTTCGATCATGTGTCACGTGCAAGCTATTCTTTTTTTTTTTTTTTTTTTTGTAGCCTGTGCCGGCTGGTGTTCAATACTCCTCAGCTGTATGAGACTATTGAAAACGCAACTGCTGCTTGATTGGTTCTAGAGGATACACAATAAAACACTGTGAATTACTCAAACTGGGAACGTTTTTGTTGTTGTTGTTGCTGGTTCATTTTATTTCAAGGTGTAGTTTTAATTTTTGTATCAGTAGAACCTACAACACCCACGAAAACAAAATGATCACTGTGGCAATATGTGTGTGCCTTTTTGTCAACGTTCTGGATTCATGTCACTAGTCGGAACAAAATTATTTCGTGAAAGGGGGTGCTACGTTTAACACCTATATGCACTGACGTAGAAAGGAAGGTGGGATTCTACTCCTTCTTATTTCCTGAAAGTCATACATGATGAGTGGTTGAACCCTTCCTCCTCCAAATAAATTTCTCAACCCATAGGCCTGCCTCTTCACATATGTGCGCACGTTCGTGCGTGCATTTGCCTGGCCATTTTTTAATCTATATATAGACACAGTTTAAAAATATTCCGACCCATGACTACACGACTACTATGGCGCTGTAGTATGTCTAGTTTTCGTGTCCTTAATTGCCTAATCAAGCTTGTTTGACTAATTCGACGGACTAAATGATAATGAGTGGGACGAAGCGTCTGTCAGTCCGACCATCCGTCCGTGCTACCGTCCGTCCGTTCGTGCGTCCGTCTGTCCATTCGTGCGTCCGTCTCTGCATTCGTCCGTGCGTGCGTCCGTCCGTCTGTCCATTCGTACGTCCGTCCATGTATCCGTACGTCCGTTCATCTAGTGAGTACAAGTACCGCCATCTCGCATATTTTCATCGAGTATTCATCGTATACAAGTACCGCCATCCAGCGAACATTCCTAGGACTAAGCGAGAGGCGGTTACCTACTACTACTACTACTACTACTACTACTACTACTACTACTACTACTACTACTACTACTACTACTGCATACATACATCGGGGATGCATGACCTACGGATTGAGGAGCTTCGCCCCTAAAACTGCATTAAACTGCACGTAACCCAGTGTCACCTGCAGATTTGCGTTTTTTTTTTTTTTGCTATTGGAGATCGAGGGGGTTACCTCATATTGCAAGCAGACCGATCTAGACTATCTATACCGTGTATCCTTATCAAAGTTTATACACAAAACAACACATTCATAAAGAATTGTAGACAACCACAGTCTACAATGCACTGACACGTGCCCTCTACGGTAAATGCTTAACGTCTGCTTGATTTGCCTTAGCCCATCTTGCAGGCCTGTTAGCCCTATGTACACCCCCGTACAGGGTAGCAAACCAGTTCGTCTAGGTTAACCTCCCTGTCTCTTCCTTTTAATTATTTCTCTCTCTCTCTTTTAACGCGCGAGTGGGAAGCAACAAACAGCAGTTTGTTTGCAGGCATACGAATGACATTGTTGCTTCTTTGTGTCCCTTTAAAGGGTTCCTTAAACACTTTTTCAAGTAACAATGGAAAAGATTCAGAAGAAGAGCTTATTGCCTCATGACATCGACGCCGCAAAATTTTAAGAATATGTCCAATACGAGTGGGGTTACAAAATTTGTCGCACGTTGCAATCGCATTCTCTCTTATCTCGTCCCGACGAAAGCGCTGGAAGCTAAGCAGGGAAGGACGGCATGGGCAAAAAAAAAAAAAGAACGTCACGTGCGTCTTGTGACCTTAAGCACTTTTTTTTTTTTTGCTTCGAATACGCAGATTTTTCAGCATGATCGCGCGCACATGCGTGTACAAGTCGCGGCCTCTAGCGGTGATACCTGCAACGATTGATTTTTGAACAAGTGAGTTTTGAGGTTCCTCCGTCATTTGTCTAGAGAAGAGAAAGCAATTTTTAGCTGACTTTGATCATTTTATTGTGAATTCCAGCCTAAGTGCTGCGCTATAATATTTGACTTGCGTGTTCTCGGGAACCTCTACAAGCAATCGGCAGCATTTTCTGACCATGCTTAAAAAGTGTTGGTTCTTGCACACCGAAGGTGGGGCGGCCAAAGTGGCGAGGCGGCAATGCGGGAAGTGGGGAAGACCTCCTATTTAGGCGGCGCAAGCGGGAGGAAAATCAGGCGGCAAGGTCGATCGCTCCCCGACCAATGTTTTGCCGCCCGCCGATGCTCGCCGCTTGCCGCAGCCAATCAGAACGCCACGCGGTGTACCATTGGGACACGGTGTAAGTACCTTACACCATGCTTTGGGAGAAGCGTTGCCACGTGACTGAGACACGTGCGCAAAAGCGCGAAAAGCCCACGTCTTCTGCCGCGCGCGGTCAGCAGGAGTAGGCATGCAGTCTAAACAGGTTCACGCACTCACTGCTTCGCCGCTTCGAAAAGCCCGCTTGGCTGAACGAAATTCCCAGAGCTCTTCACTATATGGAGTCTCTCGTAATCATAGGGAGACTTTGGGATGTTAAAGCCGAACAATTACTATTTATCATCATTCAGCTTCGAAAGAATACTGCTTGCATGCTGTTCTAGAGCTATACTTACCTTAGTAAAACCAGCCATTGATTGACTTTGGTAAAACTCAATGTTAGCCTTACATATTTCCATGCAACTGACATATGTATGTCTTACAAGAAGTTTTCATGCAACTAAAGCAAAGAGTTTGCATACCTAAGTACTTTGTGCTGAGATTTCTTTGATGGTGAAACTTACCTGTTCATTATGGAACAGCACGTACCCTATTTGTCGAAATGGTTTATTGGGTGAGTTTATATGGAGAGAATGACGAATTGAACACGCACGGGATACTTAGATAGGGACAGGAAAGACACGGACAAACACTTGTCCGTGTCTTTTCTGTCCCTAACTACGTATCGCGCTCACATTTTAATCCGCCACCCTATTGTAGTGAAGTATGCTTCTTCTTCAGCTAGTTTGTGCACTTGGCAATGGTATTCAGGCATATGCATGTCTATGAAGTCTTAAGTAGCTGAACTATTCTAGTGCATGGGCGTTGGCAGGGGGGGGGGGGCAAAAAACGGGTCCCCCACAAGCCCTCCAGCTCTTGCTCCCTATTCAAGCCATGCAAGAGCTCCCCCCTCCTCCCTCAGCCCAATGAAACACTGCTTTGTACCGCCCCCAAGAGGAAATGCTGCCGACGATCATGCTCTAGTGAGAATGCCTGCAACATTGAAAGGTTGATGTGGTGCAGGATTCTGTTTAATTTTTCCTCCTTCAAAAGTCACACACTTCAGAATTCATGGACTATCACAGAAGTAAAAACAGGGAAATTATAGTGGTTGCTTCTGGAATGTGGCTGAAGTAATAACAGAAACAACTCTTCAGTAATCAAAAAAATAACAGACCAAAATTATGAGCACTGCTATATGGCTGCTTGTCTATGGGAGAAACGAAAGAATGAAAGAAAGGAAAGGACAGCACAGGAAAATATATGTACAAAGCAACTCAGACAATTTCAACTTAAACAGGTGGTGATCTTGTCAAGCCCGAGACTCTTTGTTACATTTGTAGGGCACAGAACCTGTCTCATACACTGTAGAAGAGTTAACCAATGTGACATAAGCCATGTTTTTACCATTTCCTCAAGTATCTGCATTTTACTTCACTCAGTAAACTGGTTGCTGGAAAAGCAAAATGCACATTCACTTACGTGTAATGTCCACATGAAAAAGAAACATAGATGAAGGTTCTGTAGGCACATGCTCTGATGAAGCCAAAGGAAACGCTATGCATTCTAGGATCGCACAAAGAGATGCACCAGACTGCCTTTTGAACCCTCCTGTCTTCTCCAAATGCAGTTTAATACATGTGAGACCTGGTATATAAAGCTAACCTAGCATGTCAGAGGATAGTGCAAATAGACCTTAGATTGTATAATTTGTACTTGAAGCAAGGCACAGATGCAAAACCAAGTGACCCCTCAACACGTGAAACCTTCCAAAACTTGCATTTGGAGCACGCATATTTTTCCCTTATGAAAGAATCATATTCACTGATGAAACCTATGCCTTATTTGACATACAATAAGAAAGCATATAATGTGAACACTAAGCAGTTTTTCACATTATGCCTAAAGATACCTATGTGCACACGATCATCAAAATGAACTGCAAAAAAAAAATAAATGTAAAAATGGCAGTTCCATTTGGTTCCCAAAGATCAATGCTTGCTGTGCATGCAGATTAAGCAAATATGGCATTTCAATGACACTGCTGCAGCAACATAACATCTGGCCTGACCTCTTCCTTCTTTGCTTTGGCAGCAGTCTTGTTCAAGGCACAGCATGACACGCGTAAAAACTCTTACAAGGTGTCTAAAATGTGGAAGGAACTATGTACATAATTTGTCACAGTTTCAAGTCAGTTCACTGTGAAATCAATTAGGACGCAGTACCTCTACAGCCCACTCAAGAGTGGGAGTATTATGTACAAGAAACATCTTGCGGTCTAGGAGTGACAGGCAGTCACGTCTTGTAGATGTTAATCTCGGCGGGTGCAGATGGTTCAGAAGTCCTCCTGGTGTTCTTGAGCTCATTGATGAAGTTGTTGCGCACTGCAGTAATCCCGAATGTGTTGGGGATACGATCAAGGCCATTCTGCAGAATGCGCTCCACTTTGTTTGGAAACATATCACCAGAAGTAGCATCCCCAGCTTTCTTTACATCTATCGCAATAGGCTGCACTTTGCTGATCTCCCTCCTTTTTACCCGTGGCCTGGAACAGGAAAAGGAGACATTATTAAAGCATGCAGATTACTTGAAACTATTATTAGCATGATATATAGCATTGCTGAAATGAAGGGAGGAAAGGGAGAGGGGAAGCTTAACTTCTAAACTTCCATTCATCTCATGACGAGCCTGAATTCAGTCAGGTTTCTTTACATGCACAAAAATGCTAACACATGCTGCAGTTATGGAACACTAACTTGCTTGAACAGCCAAACCTGTACACTCCAGGATGAATAAGCAGTGTACATTGAACGAAGAACAACAACAAAAAAAAATGTTTCACTTTTAGGGTCAAAGCATGTAATTTAAGTTACACATGGTCCATTCAAGCAGCACATGCATTTTCATGTCTACAATAAAATTGGGCTGTTGATTAGAGCTGCTAAAGCATGGAATCAGAGGGAAATGGGTTGAAATCCCTCCCTGCTTCCACGCTTAGGGCAAATACAGGGGTGGAGGCAGTAATCTTGTCCCTGTTTCGTAAGAAGTATCTCTGGCCTTAAGCATAAGGCACATTCCCACATAACAGCAAGCTAGGAGGTAGCATCTGCACTTGTTTTTAAATAATAAGTCCCAGTTTCGAAAATTATTGTAAATGTGGCCCTAGTTTCGGATCTTTAGTGCCTATGGTTTGTGACATTCACTCCGCTAAAGTGTACGATAATATAGACTACATACTAGCTGATAGCAGTGGAAAAATAAAATTCTTTATAGGTACATCCAACATCATCAAAATGATTTCGAAGGGGCTACAGAATAATTGTAATAAATTAGTAGACACAAGAATATTTAGTAATAATTTCTTTTTATCTTACGATATTTATGTTGGAAGTGGCATAGTGGAAATCACGGGGCACATTGAAAAATAGCTTAAAACACACTGAAGAAAGGATTACGTCAAAAATGGGGGCTAAATGTCCTTGCCATAGAAATAATTTGCATGCATCAGCAGCTCCGCCAGCACTTTGAGAAAATTACAAGAGATGAAGAATAGTCAGGGCAATTCTTATGTGGTGAAATTCGCACCTGAACAGCAAGAATGTTGATGCAGCCAACAGCACTGAGCTGATCACAATGAGGCCAACAGAACCCCACTGAGAGTATTCGGGAAGTTGAACAATGGTTCTCAGCAGCTTGACTGTGCTTTCTCTTGCCTCCACACGCTGAAAACAGACAGGTGGTTGAATTTTTGCTCTGTGTTCACAAGAGTAGAGGCGAGCGGGCTTACCGTTTCCTGCCAGAAGAGTGGCAGCACAGCTTCAGCAACTCGAGAAAAGGGCCTGTAATGAAGATGCCACACGTACAGTAATATCTTTCTGGATTATTGTGCAGCAAACATATTTATATCTTCTTGTTCTTTTTTTTTTGCAAAAGCAAGCCTCTTAAGAGAAAGCAGTCTTTTTGTTTATTTCTTATATTTATCAGGCTTACACTTCAAGTGTTCATTTTTAAACCACAGGCTATCTGGTTCAATGTCATAGTTGCCAGGTTTTTAAGATGACTGTAAGGTATTTTGAAAGCAAATACATACATGCGTTGTTTAATGTTAGAAAGCATGAAAAATATAATAGTGGTGGAGACTATAAATTGCCATAGTTCAATAGCCCACATTATCCTCCAGACAAGGCACGTTTCATAAAATTGCATTTTTGGTAACTGCATTGGATTGTGTGACAGGTTGGTTGTAAATGTAGGTCCCATTTACATGATTGAAACAATAGTCTATGCCGTCATTCTACAGCTTTGAAATAACCAAAATTAATTGTTAGCGTACCCAAGTCCAAACACTCGCTCCAAGACGACGCTTACTTGTATCCGACCTCGAACATTAACAGTCACTCCAAGTGTCTGCAATGAGAATGAAAATGAAAAGATACTTGTTTTAAACATGTGAAGTTTAATATTACCAAAACCGTAACTTACAGGTTCACTGTTGAAGAAGAACTGATGTTTGTTGGGATCTGGGTTCATGCCACCAACATCAGCACGGTATGATGAGTCAGCATACAAGAAGTGAGGAAACGAAAGCACAAGTGGAGCACCTGCGCAAAAAAGATAGTGCTTTCAGCTTTAAAAATGATCGTCAACTATAAGGGCATAACTGCAACTCGTACATCCTTTGTTGCACAAGAAATCATCCACCTTATCAAGATTTTTCGCCAACACATACCTTGTCCCTAAATATTGATATCACATCACAAAATTTGTAGCTCCTAGTTTGTCATATTTTAGCTTTAGTCCTTTAAAAAAGCTTGCCCATGTATCATTCCATCAACCATAGAAAAAAAGCCTCTTTACAGCCATAAAAAGTGAGCACTGTTTAAGTATCGAAAAGAAGTTTGCAAGGTATAATTTTTTGCATTATGTTACTTCCACATCTATTACATTATTTAAACTTATTGTTACATATTAAGTTGTTACATTCAATGCATGTACAGAGGGGTCCACTAGTTTACTGTTAGAGGGAACACTGGAGCACGTGTCGTCTGCTCGGCACCACTGATGATTGGCAGCGGCAACTAGTTTCGCGCTGTGGGCGGCGCTCATTTGTCGTCTGCTACAGTTGCGGCCGCGCTTCAGCTCGTCGCGAAGCCAGGCATCGCCCTTTGAAATTTGTCCGCAGGATGCATGGCCGAGCTCAAATAGAAAGTTTTGGGAAAGCTGAAAGGAAATTAGATTGTCTAACATACTTCCTCAATGATATTTTAGTGGTTAAAGGAGCATGGCTTCTTTACGATCGTCTTTTTTCTAGCATAGCGTTATAAAGAACATTTTTTTTTTCTTTAAAGCAAGGCCCCGCAGCGAGGGTCTAGTGATTAAGTTACTCAGCTGCTGACCCACAGGTCGCGAGATCAAATCTCGGGTGCGGCGGCTGCATTTTCGATGGAGGCAAAAATGTTGTAGGCCCGTGTGTTCAGATTCGGGTGCACGTTAAAGAACCCCAGGTGGTCGGAATTTCCGGAGCCCTCCTATACAACGTCTCTCGTATTCATATGGCAGTTTCGGAATGTTAAACCCCACATATCTTCAATCCATCGTCCTTGTGGAGCGTGTAATTGATGTGCACTAATGCATATTCGGTCTGCTGCAGTGCGTAAGCTGAACAAAGAATTTATATGCGCCTTTAACTGGCGTCCACAAAAAGATTTTTCGAAGCGGGCAATTCGTGATCTATCAAGAAGAAGAACGAAAGACGGCAATGCAGCTGATAAACCAGGGGATAGCTACCTGATTATAGATTATTCCAGACATTTTCATTCTGTTTAGAAAGAAAGTGACTATTTAAAGATTCCACGACCTCAGCCGCTCTTCGCGACGAGCTGAATTGCGACTGCAACTGTTGCAGACGACAAATGAGGACCGCCCATTGCACTCACTGCTCCTGTGTCAAACTAGTTGCAGCTGCCAACCGTCAGTGGAGCTGAGCCGACCACACGTGCTCCGGTGATCCCTTTAACAGTGGACCCCTCTGTATATGCTTGGTGTATGGTCACAACTGAGCATTTAGGCAGTAGCATAATGCCGTACCACAATAAGTTAGTAAAGCCAAATACATACCTTGCTTGCAGGGACCTAGGTTTGCTCCCCCATCCGGCAAAGCTCTGCCAGCAGCGAAGCACTCATTTTCACTGCGTTGTTGCCCACTGTCGAAAGCTGTGGGACCAGCTATGAAGCGCTTGACTTTCAGGCCTTTGAATGTTTCATAGCCTATGCTTTCTAATGGTATTGACCTGGAGATTAGAAATGAAATTTTCGTGGTGCGATTAGCATTTAAAGCACAGTGTTTAAAATGTTAAAGAATTAAATCTAGGCACCTGCAAATATCCGGGATGAACATAACTTGCTCGTTGCTTTTTGACAGGGGTGGTCGAATATGCCCAACTAGAAAAAAGAAAAAAAAAACATGCCATAAACTGTCAGTCATCTGCACGCTGCATGCTCGACCTGCAACTATTTATTGGCAGTGAAGCTTTGGAGCTTCAAAGGAACACTAAAGGAAAGCAATGAATTGGTTTACATGGACAAATTTCACTCTAACAACTCTAATGTTGTTACTTTCACCATCACACCTTTTATAATAGTGAAAATTTAAGGTCAGGTTCTCTACTTTGAATTTCATGACGAAATCTCCGCACAATACGTCAAGAATTTCAAAGTGCATTTTTCATATTTTGGTGATAGTGGCTCAACGAAATCTCGTCAGGGTAAGAGCGCTGCTTTCGGCCTTGTTAAATTGTAATGCACTTATTCGCCGTCTATTTACGCACAGTTCTGCCAGCCTGTGTAGCACCAATGGCGCAGAAATGGTGAGGCGGGGGGCGGGAAGGGTTACTCTAAGGTTAGTCTAGGTTACCCCACCATCGAAAACTTTCAGTTTTGCATGTGTGTATATACGTGCAAATTTACAAATGCACAAACATACATACAGTATAATTGATCACTCTCTCGCTTTCCCTAAAAAAAAATTCTGGCTACTCCACTTACGTGGCCCTTTTCTCTACATAGTGTCAATTCAGAGCAACACCACAGTTATATATAGTCACGTTCAAAACAAAGGCGATGTTTATAAGGTGGTTTTACAAGGCCCAAACCCCGAAAGGAAGGAAGGAAGGGCTTGTAAACTGTGGCACACACTCACACTGGTGGATTGGCCAAGAACCGGGTAGTTCTTACGAAATACTGTTAATTTGTTAGCTCATGTTTTTTACACTAACAAAAAAGGGGCAAAAAACTAAATGAGAAATGAACAATTAGAAATAATGGATATAGAAAATGAAGCAGATGGTTTCAGCAACAACAATAAATGAATGAACAAAACAAGGCTTGGCACAGCACCGCCAAAACAAAGGGACTGGCACGAGAACTACTGTGTTTTCGTCTGCTTCTTTCTCGCTGGCAGATTAGGCACGTGGCAATATTTAGCAACCCCCACAAAATCTGCACCAAAAATTGATTTAAAAAAGATCAGGGAAACGCTTGAGATGCTACCGAATACATTTACAAACCACACATACAAATGACTGCACTAAATGAAAATGAAACCAAGAGATTCCAACAGATCGTACACGAAAATTGCGTTGTTGTCAACCTCACCTAGCTGTCTGAAGCTCTACGAATAACGCCATGGTGATGACGCAAGTCCGTGCATGTAATGTCGTGCGTCGCTGTAAGTGCATGTCTACTCAAGCAGCTATGATTAACCACCTTTTCAGCGAGGACTTTATCGGTATACCTAGAAGTAATCCAACCAGCCCGCAAATATAGGAAATAAGCGATACCTTCGTTTAAACATTCGCACCGGCTTAGCTGAAACCTCTGTAATCATATGCGGAGTGCTTCAAAATAGCATTGTTAGCGTGTTCATAAGAGGAAATTAGTGTGGCACCTTTTAACGCATTCATCACCATAGCATTGTTAGCGCGTTCATAAGAGGAAATTAATGAGGCACCTTTTAACGCGTTCATATGAGGAAGGTATTTCATAATCGGCTACATAGAGTTTCCTTTCGTCACTCTGCGTAATCTGTTGGGGAAATTCTGTCGTTTCAAAACTAATATTTGTAGGAAGCATGTTCGGTCTCATTTCAGGCTTTTAGTGCATACTGCAGTACGTCAGCGAAAGGGGTCTTTATCAAAAAGGATAATCCATCAATTGCTATGCGGACATTGTGTACAGATATTGAAGCACACTTACGCGTTCCTGTTAATGTGTTGCATTCATCACCTGGCCATACCTCCAGTTTCCTGTAAGAAGTGTAAAGAAATCAGATAGATGTTTCAAGCTCACAGGATTTTCAAAACAACGCTTTCACGCAACAGGGCAACACTTATACAAGTACCTGTGTTTGTTGAACTCGTACACTTGGTTCACCTTGGAGATGTCATCTTCGCCGGTGAATATTGTGTACTCCCCATCGATAGTGTCGTTTTTCTGCAAGATAAATTCAAAGAGTTGCTGAGTCATGGCTGTTAATTCACGTGGAACGCATGAACTAGCCCTAACAATATTTGGACATAAGGACGGGATGGCAGAAACTTACGTGGACCATGTATCCGAACTGTCCTTTGCGAAGCGTTAAAAGAAGAGCAGAAGCGTGTTAATAAGCTGCCGTAAAAGAAGTGCAGATTACAGAAATGATGCTTAATTCATAAAAGCTTTTCTATAAAAAGAAATCGCGTGGAAAATATACAAGGGCATGCGTGAAACAGATTCAGGAAGAAGAATAATGCTTCACTGTTAAAAAAAGGGGCTGGTGTAGAGCATGTTGAGTACCGTAAACTCTAGCCTCAGCTGGCGAGGTGCACTTGATAGATGTTAGTACTGTAGGTGCAGTAAGTGACATTGTACATTGCGGTGGGTGATCGTTTTAGACGGCGGGTTAAGCTCCATCCACTGCAGTCTAGCAAGGTGAACGCAATTTCTTCGCAAATCCTTAGCATATTTTCTTCTCGCAGCAGAATAAAGCATGCACCTATAGTTTTGTTACGCTAGACGGTGGTCTAATCTCAGTATTACTGTAATGCCAATTGGTGGATAGTATAAAAATTCCTGGTAATACACATACTGATAGAAACAGATCTTTTGGATCTTATACAAATTGGCGAGTGTTATTTAACGTATAGGCGACCAAGTTCGTCGTTTAAACGTTACTTATATAATGTGCTCGCTTTTCAATGCACCGCGAAAGTTATTGTCTTCATATACCTTGCATAACGACGCCATGCTGCTTGCATTTTATAAAGCAAGCGTTGAGCTCTTTGTGTGCAACACCCTGAGGCCATAATAGCAAGTTTAATAAATAAATATTCAGTTGGCAAATAGTGACCCCGTATAAAAAAATAGTCGAACTCTCTTTTTCAGCATGCACGTGCCTCCTATATTCATCGTCATCATCATCATCGTGACAGCGCTCGCTGCAGGGCAAAGGCCTCTCCCATGTTTTCACCTATGAAACCAACGCCGACTAAATTTCAAGGCCGAAAGGCTGCCGCAGTGACGTCAGAGGTTGGGGGCCCAGTTGCCCAACTGAGCATGCTCAGTAAGACTTTTTTTTTCCACATCTTTTATTCGGCCCATCCAAGCCGCAGCAGCTGCGAGAGCGGGAGCGTTGGTTCTCCTAAAACGTGAACGAAACACAGGCTTTCCGCCGCGTTCGCGGTACGTGTAACTGGACCCCCACCTTCTGACGTCATTGCGGCAGCCTTTCGGCCTTGAAATTCAGTCGGCGTTGATGAAACCAGTCCTGCGCATGCTGCTGTCACATTATCCACGCAAGCTTCTGAATTTCACCTGCCAGCCAACTTACTGCTCAAGCCTTAATTAACAAATACTTCGCTCAGCCCGCTCACATTGACCATGTAGCCGAACTTTCCGTTGGTTCCCTGCTTGTCCGGGTCGACCAGGGAGCCGAGCATGTCGATGACGGTGCGGTAGCCGTGGCTGAACACGTCGCCGATGTTGAAGCCAGGCTGTCCCGGTCGCGGCCGGCCGGAGTCGATGACCGATCCCAACAGCACGAGGATGTCGGGGTAGCCGCCGAAGGTGAGCTGCCCCACCGAGCGGGAAATGAAGATCCGCTGCCCGAGACCCGACAGCGAGAGTGAAGCGATGCCGCGGATGATGAAGTTCTGTTCCTTTAGCAAATGCGCCGTCGTCTGCGTACATTCGAAGAACATCTACAATGCACTTTTTTTTCTTCGGTACATCATGTAAAACACATTGATGAGCTGACAGGAGGACGGGGCACCGCTCAGCGAGAGCTTCGCGGTGCCATTTCCTGACGCCGGGAAGCTCTCGCCGAGTGGTGCCCCGTCTGCAGACTCCTAGGACTGTGTCAATCTCTCCTATCTTCTCCTTATTTCTGTATGTGGGTCTCTCTGTCCCTTTCCTAACTCTATCCCTATCCCTTTAATCCTCCCTATCTCTTTTAATCCATCCTTACCCCCTTTCTCGTGAGTCACTGTTGAGGTATCGCACTATGATGCAGACAGTTATGGGGATCACTTTTATCTTCTTTTCTCTCTCTTAAGAATCTCTTATATAGGAGTAGTGCGACGCTTCCACTGATCGGCCGATACCATTTTTAATGCCAATTTTTGATATGTTCATCTCAGTGAAAAAAAGCATAAAGGGCACAATAGAAGTTCCAGGTGGAGAAACTATGGTTGAAAGCTGATTATCTTCACAAGACCACCGTAATCTATGCCAAACAATAAAACGATAGACGTTACGTACTGTAATACGGACATATAAGAATAAGTCAAGACACCACAAACGTCTGTTATTACGAGGTGTCTTGACTTATTCTTTTTGTGTCCATGCTTGCATGCCCCGTCTTTTAGAATGAATTCTTACAAGCTGCAAACTTCGCTGTCGTTACTTATTTTGACTTGGAGATGGAAAGTTATTTTGCATGAGGTCAAATATAACTGGGGTATATTTTATGCAAGTGCAAGGACCACAGGTCAGATAATATTAAAAGCGAAAAAAAACTCCGTCATTACGGTGTCCAGCTACGTAAGAACTTCATATTTTGAATGTGCTTTATATAACTCCCTTTATATTATATACACACATATAGATACACACACTAACTCCATTTTAGAGAGTCGCGCCTCCCACGACTCTTAGAAGAGATGATAATTACCTCAAAAAGAAGGAAAACGTGCATGTTTAAATATATATGTATATGACAAGCGAGGATATGTCAACAAGTTCGCTTACAGGTTTGTTTGTTTTTTTTTTCTCTTTCTTAGAGTGTATGCACCTCGTCTGCATTCAGCCAAGCAGCTCGCCCCCGTGTTTTTTTTTTATCACTAACAAAGTTAATATTTTTGTTTGTACAAATCGTGCGCTACTTGGGAAGCGCATTACTTTGACCCTTACATGTTAGAATCTTTACTTTCAGTGAATCAGCTTTTAAATGAAGAAACGACAAACATAAATTCAAATGGTTGCAGCTAAATTAACCTGTTGCTATTCTATTTCAATTGCTGTTGCGTCACTCGCTTTACGAAAATGTGCAGAAATGAAGAGATGCTAAAAGTTTTAAGACAGAAACTAACAGCCGACATATTGCATGTTATAATTCACTCATGTGAAGTCTTTTGATACAAATTATAGACAGGATATTAATCGCGAACGAGTAGCGCATCTGTAGACGTGTCAGTATTGGGATGCAAATAATTTCACACGAGAGGCAATGTACTCGGCTAGACTAATCGATGTCAATTTGAATTATTTTTGACGTCATCACTTACCACGAAAGGTACGTTGACGGTCATGATTTCATCAGTCTCTGGTCCCACAGAGCTCTCTCTGTCGAAATAGTAACGCTTGGTCTCTTTGTAGGACAAGGTTCCGTTGTCATGGAATGTTATGTTATGCTTAATCCAGTATGCCCTGGGTAATGAAACAGGCACACAGCACACTCGTGACGGATAAGTCACACCTTGTGCAAAAAAAGGACAAAGTAACGCAAATAAAGGAGGTTCTAGCATTTTTTTTTTCATTTCTCAATACCCAATTCTCTGCTTTTACGCAGAAGCCATCGAACGAAGGCTAGTCAGTCGTTGGAGTAAACGTTCCCACAAGGACACTTGTCTTCGTTGGTGGAACTGGAAATTTAAGAGGTTTTAGTAGAAATTATCGGTAGGTAGGAAATGAAATGCGATACCCAAAGTTCCCCCGTTGTAGTATAGGCTCAAACGTATGCCTGACTGTACAGCCACGCATATTGAAAAAGGCACGTGAGATAGATCCGTCATTTTTCTAAAAAAAATTGCCAGTATATTCACGCATCATTCATTTCAGAGTATATGCTTGCATGCATACAACAGTATTTAGCCGTCAAGTGAGGCTGCTAAGGTATGTACCCCCCCCCCCCTTTTTTTTCATAACTGACGCCTCGAGAATGAGAGAGAACTAAGTACTCAGAGAGGAACATGCTAACTACGCAAGTGTCGTAAATAAAAAAAAGAAGGGGGTGTAGGCAATAGAATATACTTGTCAAAAAGTTTTAAAAAATACATAAGAGGCTGATTAATCCGCATATCGTGGGTGGCAACTAAAGTTAGACGGCAGCTAGAAACGCTAGGTGAATGAATAATATTACGGAAATGTGTTACACTTTATACCACTTTGCTTGTCTATCATAAATACAAAGAAATGGCATTCGGAAATTGGAAACATGTGCGGAAAACACTACAAAACAAGTATAAAGTGCGCCTTAGGCTGGTTCAAGCATTTGTACGAAATGTTCGTGGAAGACGGCTTTCTGAGAAACGCGTGCACCATCCCCCCACCCCCTATGTTTTGTTCTTTTTTGGTTTTTTTTTTAATTCCAACTGAGCACGGATCATCGAGTAGCCCACCTGTATGTGTAGGGCCCGACTTCCTTGACGGACGGCTTCTCTCCGATGAGTACATCATTGGGATTGGTGACGTTGAAGAAGAAAAAGCGGATTTTGGTTTCGTGGCTGGAGTCCTTCCACATTGGGAATGCCCGAGAGTGCTCCGACAGAGCCACCTCCTGCGAGTGGTGGCGCACCAATTGCTTAAACTCTAAGAAAACCGATTCGCTTGTTCCTTCATGCGCACCTATCATCATCATCATCATAAGCCTGACTACGTCCACTGCAGGACAAAGGCCTCTCCCATGTTCCACCAGTTAACCCGGTCCTGTGCTTGCTGCTGCCAATTTATACCCACAAACTTCTTAATCTCATCTGCCCACCTAACCTTTTGTCTCCGCCTAACCCACTTCCCCTTTCTGGGAATCCAGTTAGTTACCCTTAATGACCAGCGGTTATCCTGTGTACGCGCTACATGCCCGGCCCATGTTCATTTCGTCTTCTTGATTTCAGCTATGTATCGTTAACCCCCGTTTGTTCGACACTTTTGTGCTATTTTAGGCATCTATTTGAAGCATGAACTAATTAGGAAAGTGTTGTAACGTAGTCACGTCTTCGTTATGGTAAAGAGGTGTCTGTATGGCTGCTTTGCGCTGTTCAGGGGATGAAAAAAAAAACTGATGCTTGGGGTTTCACGTGCCAAAAACACGTTGTGATTATGAGGCACGCCACAGTGGAGAGTTTCACGAATTTTGACCATGCGGTGTTGCTTGCTAACGTGCGTTGAGATCACAGACAACGCGGACGTGGCTCTATCATTTCGCCTCCATCCAAATGCGACTGCCACGACCAGGATCAACCGAGCTTCGTAACCACTGCACCAGCACGGCGGACAGGTAAAAAAAGTAAATAAAGTGTCGATTAAACCAATCGTATTGTGTTCGTACGCGATGTTAGCCGTTTTAAAAGACACCATTCATTATCAATACAGCACAACAGCCGTGAAATCGATGTTAGCCGTTTTAAAAGACACCATTCATTATCAATACAGCACAACAGCCGTGAAATGCTGACCGGGGTACGAGCACCCGTTATCGTTTACGCAACCTCCAAAAGTCGAAGATAATGTAATGCGGCTCACAATGATCGACACGCTTAACAGTATGCAATAAAAAAAAATGAGCAACTGAGGTAGCTCGGGCATATGTGTCACTCACCTTGTTAAGAATAAACCTAAACACGTGGTCGAAGCCAAGGAGGACGCCCACGCCTAAGATTATGAGGAGCAGAGATACCACGGCGCAAGCCGAGATACCTGCAACAGGCACGGTAGGGGCGACATATTAAGGCAGGGTTCTACCGAAATTATACAACGTACTCGAAGTTCACTTTGTTACTATAATTAGTTGAAATCACGAGACCCGAACGATTGCTATAGTCATAAGCATAGCAATATAGATACATTTGTATTGCATAAAAAGAGGGAGAGAGCTCTCGTGATTACGTTTAAAGAGTCCCTGCAACACTTTCTGAGTATGGTCAGAAAACGCTGCCGATTGGCAGTCCAGGCTCCCGAGAGAATGCGAGCCTAATATTATAGCGCCAGCACGCGGCCTGGAATTTACAGTTCTCAAAGTCAGCTAAAAATTGCTTTCTCTGCTCTCAAAAACTGACGCTACAAGCTTATTGTGGTTATAAGAGGGAAAAGAAGAGAAAGGTGAGCCCCGTAACTGTCTGCATCAGCGTGCGACACCTCAACAGTAGCTCACAAGGGATTGGGGTGAAGAGGGATTAACAGGATAGGATTAAAGGTATATATATAGAGAGAGATGCGCTAGGACAGCGAGCGACGACATAAGAGAGATAGGAAAGATGGAAACACGGTCACAGGAGTCCGAGGACGGGTCACCTGTGACCGTGTTTCCATCTTTCCTATCTTTCTTATCACCCGTCACAGCCATTGTATCAGCCATTAGCTGTTTTTGAGCATAGCGCACTCGGTCGTTACAGGGGTAGCCGCGACTTGTGCGCGCTATCGCACTGATAAGCCGCGTATTCGAAAGAGAGAGAGAGAGAGAAAGTTTTCAAGGTCACTGGGCGCGTGTGACGTATTTTCTCTCCCCGCGCCGTATCTCTCCCTGCTTAGCTTCCAGCTCTCGTCAGGATGAAAGGAGAGAGAATGCAATAGCAGCATGTGACAAACCTTTGCGACTCCGCTCGTACTTGATGGATTCTGAAGATGTTTGCGGTGGTGAATTCGTGAGGCAATAAGCCCATATCGTGAATCCATACCCCGGCTACATGAAGAAGTGTTGCAGGGCCCCTTTAAGTGAAGCGTGCAGATTGGGAACTCCGAATTTAGGAATCGCCATAGTGGCAACACATTACAGACTGATGCAAGGATATAATGTAGCTTTCGAAATGTATTGTCAACAAAGTTTACTAACACCATACAGTTGTTATTAAAAATATACGGAACAACTGTACCGCTACGCGTTTCTGTAAATTTTCATTGCATCTGCGCACTGTATACACGTCTTTCGACCGTGCATTCACAATACAGGAAGACGCCGATGGGCTACTTCGTCAACAACAATTAACTCCCTGCCGCGAGAGCTTCACAAGGACGCACAGCAAGACTGCATCGGTGCTGAGGAAGCACTGGTGCCGGCAACGAGCTCTGCAAAGCTGAAGCATTGCGCAACATCAACACAAACAATGAAAATACCGACGCAGAATTCCGTTTCCGTGTCGGTGTAACCATTAGTTTTTCTTTCATTTTTTTCCAATTCATTGCGTTACTTTGGTCATGCAGTAGTCCGGTGTATTCAATTCGAACCCAGGCGTCTTTGTAACCGACCGTGAAATCTTGCAGTTCTGTATTCGTGAGTATTGACGTTCTATACATAGTAACAGATGATCATAAGCATTACCAGACAATGAAGAGCTTCACGCCTTTTCTCCAGAAGTGGAAGTTTGCCGTACGATACAAATTTGAATGCTTATTGCCGCATGGCTGTCAAAAATGCGTGCTGAAGTTTAATAACTTTCACAACCTATTTAACTCTTGCTGTCCTTCATAAACATTCGTTATGTTTGCAAATACACCGCGCAATTTAAATTTCGTGCATCCGAGTATTCTCTAACATTCTTTGGGAATGCGAGACGAATTCTGTTTCAAAGACAATACTGCCAGCTTCCCCCCTCGAGGCGCAAGAATCGTTCGCGTCGTCAAACGACTGTCGCAAACGCAGAAGTGAAATGGACCGAGAAGGTCGTGGCTGTACTAGCCACCACCTCTTTGAACCACCAACAAACTATGACATCAATGACTTCGTTGTGCCGTTAATACAATTATCTCTCTCATTTACGCCCTCATTCTCCTGCTAACGCGGAGAGTTGCAAATTATATAAACATTATCTGGTCGACCTTCCTGCCTTTCGCGATTTCCTCCCGCTGTCTATTCATCCAAGTTGTGCTAAAAGAATATTTTCTTATCATCATCATCATCATCAGCCTGACTACATCCACTGCAGGACAAAGGCCTCTCCCATGTTCCGCCAGTTAATCCGGTCCTGTGCTTGCTGCTGCCAATTCATACCCGCAAACTTCTTAATCTCATCTGCCCACCTAACCCTCTGTCTCCCCCTAACCCGCTTGCCTTCTCTGGGAATCCAGTTAGTTACCCTTAATGACCAGCGGTTATCCTGTCTACGCGCTACATGCCCGGCCCATGTCCATTTCCTCTTTGTTTCAACTATGATATCCTTAACCCCCGTTCGTCCCATAATCCACTCTGCTCTCTTCTTGTCTCTTAAGGTTACACCTACAACTTTTCTTTCCATTTTCTTATCAGAGCTCGCTAAACCTTGCCCCGCGTATGGTAATGCGGCATTGTATATAGACTTATAAACAAGGGAAGTGAGGATGACCTACACAGGCGCCGGCCACACATGCTGCTCTTCTTGTTGGCGCTTCTCGAAGGGCCCCTGGAGCATGGTCTCTCCTCGGAGGGCGCCTCTACCTCGAACTGTTCGCAGCGAGGGGCCACGGTTGCTCCGGCTGGGGCACCTGCGACGAAGCGAGATACGAGTGATGCGAGGACGCTCTACAGAGGACGATAAGCACTTCGGTAGATGCACTTATGAATCTCTCAGCACCACACGCACGCCGACCGAGTGGCATATTGTGAACGTAAATTTGTTGGGAAATGTGTACTTGAAGACGTGAATCGATAAGTAAACACGCGGATGCATACGGAAAATTTTACGAACATTCCGCGTTCCGCACGTTTTCAGGCACATTCCCAAACGCACACAGTGGTAATTTCCTCCAACTAATGCTGAAAGGCAGCACATTCAAATTATCATTTTTAGGAGCAAATCGTTCGCTATTTTTTACGGATCGATTGTGCCTTCTTTTGCTAGGCTTGCAATAATAATAATAATAATAATAATAATAATAATAATAATAATAATAATAATAATAATAATAATAATAATAATAATAATATGTTATTCATTTATTTATTTATTCAGAATACCCCTAAAGGCCCTCTCACAGGAGGGTATTACATAGGGGGGGGGGGGGGCTATAACGCATAGTACATGAAATGATTAATAGGGCCAGAAAACACGCAAACTAAACACTATACAGCTGCTAAATAGATTAGAGTAAATATAAGGTCAATATTCTTACCGCATAGTCTTAAATAATCAGAATAAATAATATGAGTCAAACAATAATGAAACTATAAAAATATTTTAAAATTTATCTAAACAAGGAAGGAAAGAGAGTCACAATAGTACAATAAAACGCAATCTAGCTTACTACAAGCACACGCGCCATTAAAGCATAAAGGAATGACAAAATCATCAATAGAATTAGCCAGGAACATGCGAAGTTTATACAGAAAACACGGTATGCAGAAAAAAAAAGGGGGGGGGGGATACCGCAAAAGGTTCACACGTTTGCACTCATGTTTAGTAGGTTCTGAAATACAGTGATATCGGTGACGGTTACAATGTTTGATCGTAAGTCGTTCCACTCGGTTATTGTGCGCGGTATGAAGGATCTAGCATAATGAAATGTGCGACAAGGGAAGCGTTCAATTTTAAAGGGATAATCGCGGCGTGGGAAGATAGCAGGGGGTGGCCTAAAGAAGTCCTCGTGAAGTGATGTGTGATGCGGTAGAGCTTATGAAGTAGTGATAAGCGAGCAATTTTACGGCGACGTGATCACAGTTCCAGTTCGGCGCGAAGTTTCAATGGAGTGACGCTAGTGTGACGTGAATAATCAGAAAAAAAAAATAAAACGTACAGCACGGTTATGCAGGGCTTCGGTGTTTTGAATAAAGTAGTCATGATCGGGATCCCATATGGCCGACGCATATTCTATTTTAGGACGGATTAGGGTGATATAAGCCAGTTTACGCAAGTGCGAGGAGGTGTGTTGCAAGTTACGTTCAAGGAACCCGAGTGAGCGATTTGCTGAAGCAAGGGTGACGTTAATGTGGTGATGTCATGACAGGTCAGACTAAATGTTAACCCCAAGGTATTTATAAGAGGTCGTCAGCTCCACTGAAGCATTATTTAGCAAGTAAGACGTTGGAATACGGGACGCTTTTTTAGTAAAACACATTAGCTTAGTCTTTGAAGGATTTAGTGTCATTTGCCATGCTGTGCACCACGAAGTTAAAGAGACAAGATCAGATTGTAGAGATTGTCGATCAGTTTCAGATGAAATGGTACGGTAAATGACACAATTGTCAGCGAATAGCCTAACTTTAGAATTGACTGAGGAGGTTAAATCATTAATATAACCAAGGAAAAGCAAGAGACCAATCACACTTCCTTGGGGAACTCCAGACGAGACTTGAATTGTTTTCTACTGGAAAGAAAGACTTGCAGCCAGGCGAAAACAAGTGGGTGAATATTAAGCTGCTCAAGTTTTAGTAAGAGCCGATGGTGAGGGACACAATCAAATGCTTTTGAAAAATCAAGGAATATGGCCTTAGTTTGGATGCCGGCGTCCAGCGATGAGTGCAAGTCATGAGAAAATCCCGCGAGTTGAGTTTCGCATGAATAGCCCTTGCGAAAACCCTGCTGGTATTTAATGATATTGCGTTCCTCTAAATAGGAGATTACCTGTGGGTGTATAATGTGTTCCAAAAGTTTACATATGGTACTAGTTAAAGATATGTGTCTGTAATTAAGCGGGGATGAGCGATCACCAGATTTAAATAGCGGCACTACTTTTGCTGTTCGCCAGTTGTGAGAAATGGTTCCTGATGATAACGATAGAGAAAATATTGCTGCCAAAAAGCGATAGATACCCGAGGAAATATTTTTCAGTATTTTATTATTGAAGCCATTATGATCGGATGCAGACGAAGTCTTCAACTTTCCGAGTCAACGTATGATACCAGCTTCGGCAATTGTTATTTCAGACATATTAATACCGGCAACTACATCTATGTTAGGGCATGAAGTAGTATCCTCAAGAGTAAAGACTGATCAGAATGTATCATTTAATAACTGAGCACATTCGGATTCCGGAACAGGGTTTCCATCGGTATTAGCGAGAGTTACATAGGGTTGGTTACTAGGATTTAATAATAATAATAATAATAATAATAATAATAATAATAATAATAATAATAATAATAATAATAATAATAATAACAAAAATATGCCACATGTGATTTTGGCGCGTCGACTCAACTCTCTGTTAATATTTGTTTACTAGAACAATGCCGACCAACTTTGTTTTTTCTTCGCGGTCGCTGACTCGCTACAGGGGACGTCGACCTTTTGTTCGGGATTCTGGCACTGCGTGGAAGCCGCTTCTACAGCCGCACATTAGAATTCGACGTGGACTTCCTCGGCCTGGAGCGGGCGCGTTTCAAGGTCTTCTCACTGACTGCAAAGCTACCATTATCAGTGTGAGGAGAGAGGCCGTTTACCCTGCGCGATGTAAATTGCGCGGTGGGCGAGCTCACGTCCGCTAACAGAAACAGCGCAAGTATATACAAAGCGCGACGACACAGGCCCACGCGAAGGACGAACCGTTTCCGCGTGCGAAGAAGCCCTCGCTCACTTCCTCGCCACGCGCATTAGCCCGGTTTCTAGGAAGCCACGCGGGCCGTTGTCTCTTCCCTCTCCCTAGTGTGCTGCTCGCTGCCCACTGGAACGCAGAAATGCCACAGCGTCGGTCAAGTGGTCACGGCGTCAGGCGGAAGCCACTGGGTTCGATTGCCAGTGCCGCCGGACACCCGTCGTTCGTGTAATACGGAGAGAGGTATACGGTTCGAATGTGTCCCATATACTTTTTTTTCATCTCTCTTCTCTTATATTTTTCTTCCTTTATCTCTTATTTCCTTTACCCCATCTATGTGCCGATCTGTAGAGGTGTCATCCTAAGGATACAGTTCCGAACGGCACTTTTCTCCTTTTTTGTTTTTCATAACAAGTTAGAGAAGGAATGATCCTTGGTGTTGCGTGTATTCATTTCTCGAGTGATTTCTCGATATCTTCTGTCTACTATAAAAAAATGCATTGACGTCGCGGTGCCGATAACGCGATTCTTGTTCACAACAAAAGAAAATAAAAGGAAGTTAAACGTTTGAACAGGCTCAAGCATGCAATATAACATTTTGCGTATGTGCAGAGCAGTGCTCTACATTGCTGCGTCCGCTTAAATATCCACGAAAATTATGATCATCAGCGTAACGTTAAGAAACAACAAGAAGGCAGAGTGAGTCAGGGAAGAAACGCCCGTTCAGGACATCTTAGTCAAAATAAAAATGAAGAAATGGGCGTGGGTATAGCGCGAAGGCAAGATAACCGCCGGTCGTATAGGGTAAGAGACCGGATTCCAAGATAAGGCAAACGCGTGAAGGGGAACCGAAAGTTAGGTGGGCTGGTGAGATTAGGAAGACTGCCGGGATTAAGTGAGTGCAGAGAGCACAGAACCGGATCAATTCGAGAAACGTGGACGAGGCCTTTGCCCTGCAGTATAGTGCACTAGAACCTTGTTGTTGCTTTGCATATTGAAGTTTATTGTAGTGTATATATAGAGCGAAGCGTGATGTTGTTACATAACGAAGTGTATTGTAGCGTGTAAAACAAAGTGTGTTTTTCGTATGATGTACGTCATTACGTCTGTGGTATGCGTGACGTGCCCTTCCTGCTTGGACCACTTAGTGTCCGCAGTATGTATTAAATAAATAAATAAAATAAATAAATAAACCTAGTTCACCTTTTAGCCTGCAGTGCGCATAGTCACGCTGATGACGATCACGACGATGATGCGACCCACCGGTCACGTGTTTCTCGACAAAGCTATGCACGACCAACGTCGCAAAGGGGAAGAAGCCGCATGCATGCGAGATCGTGCAAGAACCCAAGCGCGCGTCGGGCGGAAACAGATCACGCCGTCTCGGTCGTTGCCGCCTGGTGACCATTCGAGGCAACAGTGAGCGCAAGCCCGAACAGGCAACGCGAGCCGCTGAAGCCGAGCTGAACCGGTGCAAAGGGGGGGGGGGGGAGGAAGGGGAGAAAGAGCCATGACCGTCGATTGCAGGCTGTTTTTTTTTTCTTTCGAGCCATAAGTAATTTTCTTTGTTAATGAAAGCATAATAACGCATGTGGAAAGTACAGGCTCATTGTGTCTACATAAAACACGACCTTTGGCTAAGCAGTCATGCCGTAATTTCTGATGAAATATTGAAATTTACAAGAACGTTCAAGAGTTGTGCTCGACACCAGCGGCCCGGATATGCGTCAATACGGGAACGCCAGCCATCTAAAACACGCAAAAAGTTCTTGATGTCATTGAAATCAGCAAATGTGATTGGATGGAACGGCCATGCATATTGCTACGGGGTGCCACAAATGAACATTGTAGAAAAGAGGACGATGTTTAGGGCGAGCTCGTGCAGACCGGGCTCCATATTGTATGCCTGCCTGTTTACCAAAAGTAAAGGTATTTTTCAGACACCTTCTCCCCGTAACATTTTGGTGCAGGTGCTGGGTACCTTCTCCCCGTAACAATATATATATACCCTCTAT